ACAATTGTTATTCAAGTTTTTGAATAGCTAGGAATAGTCATCGATTTCTTAAAAACATAGAACAATGATTAATATTAAGATATGATGATCAACCAAATTATTATAAACCAAAATATGATTTCAACCCATATATTTTCTCTCATTACTTAAATCTGTTTATTTATACTAAATAACTGTCACATCCCGGCCCGGGCCCCCACCACAACCCGGGCCCGATCCACCACCGTAGCACGATATTGTCCGCTTTGGGCCCCTACCACGCCCTCACGGTTTTGTTTCTGGGAACTCACACGAGAACTTCCCGATGGGTCACCCATCCTGGGAATGCTCTCGTGCGCTACTCGCTTAACTTCGGAGTTCCTACGGAACCCGAAGCCAGTGAGCTCCCAAAAGGCCTCGTGCTAGGTAGGGATGGGAATATACATTTAAGGATCACCCCTGGGCGATGTGGGATGTCACAATCCACCCCCCTTAGGGGCCCGACGTCCTCGTCGGCACACTCGCGACCAGGGTTAGGCTCTGATACCAATGTCACATCCCGGCCCGGGCCCCCACCACAACCCGGGCCCGATCCACCACCGTAGCACGATATTGTCCGCTTTGGGCCCCTACCACGCCCTCACGGTTTTGTTTCTGGGAACTCACACGAGAACTTCCCGATGGGTCACCCATCCTGGGAATGCTCTCGTGCGCTACTCGCTTAACTTCGGAGTTCCTACGGAACCCGAAGCCAGTGAGCTCCCAAAAGGCCTCGTGCTAGGTAGGGATGGGAATATACATTTAAGGATCACCCCTGGGCGATGTGGGATGTCACAATAACCTCAAACGAAAATTGATGAATAAAAATATACAAAAATTGATGAATAAAAATATACAAATATGTGCAAAAATAAGAAAAAATAGCGCAAGAAGATCGTTTCTAACTCACAATTTACTTGCTAAGTTCCAAATTGTGAAAAGAACAATTTGATATATGATACAAAATGTGATCAAAGAAAATGTTTATATTCCCCTTTTGTTTGGTTGCAAAACCAAATATGAAATAAAAAAAGGAGGTTTAACATAACACTCCCAAACTGTTCATTTTTAACGAAAAACCACATTTATACATTTCTTTGATACTATTCACTATACCTTTAAAAATGACTTTTCATTAAAAATAAAAAAAATTTGAACTTTTCGTTAATTTTCCTATAAAAAAAAAAAAAAAGGTCAACCACGTACCAAACTTGTATTTGTTTCAAATACTTAATTCCTAGTCACCCATCTTAGACTTCAACTTCAACCGAAATAAAAATCGCCATCTCACAATAAAATTAATAACAACAACAAAGCAGTCCACACGTTTTCTTCAGCATCCATGGTTCAATATATTCACATTTCTAACAACCAACCAAACTCGCAGCCCAAGTGATAAAACCTACCGCTTAACCGGGTTCAGTAAAACAGACCGAACAGTTAACAGCTTCGTGATCATGCTGGAGGAATTCGTCACCTCCGTTTTATTGTGCTCCTCTCTCTATCTCTCTCCTCACGTCTCATGAGAAGAGAAATCGAGAGAGGGGAACACCGAAACAGAAATAAAGCAGTATTTTCCGTCGAATGAGAAACACCAACAAATTGGACATTGGCCAGGCTGGAAGCCATGGTGGCGCATATGCAACGGCTCACTGGAACCAAACAAAATTTAAACACTCACCTCTCGATCTGAAATATCAAATTTCCCTTTCGGATAAGCTAATGATGGCGAAATTGGAATCCAATAATTCACAAAAAAATAAAAACTTGGAATAATTATGTTTGGACCCGATTTTACATCATGGACCCAAGCAATCGAGGCCGTTGAGTAAGCATGGTTCTTAATGGTCGGATAAGAAAGTTAGGATAATTTGCTATTGTTAAGAGATAATATTATGGTTCTTAATCATAATAATTATCCTTTAATAAATTATCTTAATTTTCTTATACAAAATAAATTATACAGATTCTTGGACACTTCATGAGGCCTTACATGGATCTGCAAGCCGAAGATAATGGTGAATAGGTTAGGTTAGGTGATGGATGTCAACTTGGTGTCTAGTCGGATGCATGGGGTCTATGGTTGAATGGACTCGCGTACAAAACCACGTGGAACAATAGGAAAAGATTTTACACGTGTTGGTGATAAGGTGGCAATACAATTTGATCAATTGGGATACGTGGTCTTCATGTATGCATGGGTAACATGCAGATGGGATGACTTCGAATTGCAAATTGGATAGGCATTTGCAACATGTGGGGGATACGGATTCTTGAGAAAAGTAAGGTGATTGGTTTGAGAAGTGAATTGTCTTTCCAATTAATTATCTTTCCAATTAATATGTTAAGATAATAATACAAATTGGAGCATGGCATTCACACTTAGACTAATGCGAAGTGATATTATCAAAGGGTTTTTATCACAATATCCGGTTGTAGAAGAGTTAGAGTGGAACTGGGAAAATCTATTTCGGCAACGGAGCACTACGAATTCTATAAATACAAGGCTTTGAACGCTAAGAAGACCACCTCCAATTCAACACACAAATTGCCTTGCGCAAACCTCTCGAACACTTTGAGATTTTTTTATTTTCTTTTTCCGCTGACACATCTTCAGTTTGGATAAATAGCATTGTGAAGGCAACCAGCGACATCTTCAGTTTGGATAAATAGCACTATTGCCGTAAAATCAGCCGACCGAGGAGCACCTTCAGTTTGGATAAACAGCATTGCGTCGAGGCCGACTGGTTACCTATCCAAGTCTCGGTCGAGAAGGGTTTTCGAATTCTTGTTGCGTCGAGGCCGACTGGTTACCTATCCAAGTCTCAGTCGAGAAGGGTTTCCGAATTCTTGTTGGCAGAAGTCATCTTATTAGCCTTCTCAGCGAAGTAAGGTGTTACGAGTTACAACATTCGGCACATTAAACGCTGAGTGATTTTATGATTGGATACTCACAAGTGAGTTTCAGAGTTCAGCATTCTAACGGCTGAACCACATTTACCATCAAGACATACATCTCCTTTGAGTACTTGTGTCCATATAGTCTTGTGTCGATTCGACGTGCTTATACTCTCATGAATATAATCACTATGATCGAATCCGACGCTGACGATTCGTGAACTTCGCAGAACTAGCAGCCTTGTCTTCAGGCTCGAGAATCCAAAAGCCGAGAATTGTTCCTTCCTCGACCGCAATTGCAAGATCAAGAAGTCAGCAACACTCAACGCAACATCAACAAATTGTACTCCTTGGCCAGGCTCGGTAAACAAGTTGACACGCCCCCACCAATCGAATGACGTAGTTAGCTCATTAGTTACTCGGCTTGCATGCCATGTAGGTTTCGTAATTTTTAGGGTCAACGAATTGTAAAAATAAAAAGCTAGGCTTCTACAACAACTAGGCATATATCCAAATGGATCCGTTGAGAAATGCTTATTTGGAAAACACTTTTGCACATAAGCATAAAAGTTCCAAACCAAAATTCCCAAAATTTTCGGGATGAAATACCAAACCGATCCTGAAATTTCGGTACAGAATTTAGTATTGTCTACTCAATTTTTTGGTACCGAACCAAAAATAAGTTATATATATATATATATATATATATATCATTTGAACGGTTGCTAACTACTATTAGCAATATAATTGTGTGGTCTACAGGTAGTAACCATAACCATTTATTGCCACATTTGCCCGTACGAACATCCCACAAATGTGTCCATTTCTTCAATACGAAATCAAAAAATTGTATTGTTAGTATTCAAACATATTAGGTTTGTAACTTATTTTTTGCTTTTGGGTTTTGTTACTTATTTTATTTGGGTTACATGTTAATTTAACTTGGTATGAATGATTGCTATTTCAATTTGTATGAAATTTGGGAATACCAAACCATCCTGAAATACCGAAAATATTTCAAAAATTCCAAAAATTGGGAGTACCGAAATTTTAGTTTGGGATTGGTCTTCAAATTTCCGTCCCTAAAATTTTCGGTTTAGAATCTCATATCGAACCATCCCTAAAAATGCAAGTGGCAAACAGACACCATTATAAATTACCCCTTTAATTTAGAGGGGGATCAGAGGGAACATGAGGCATGTTATGGCCCTATCTACTACTTGGACCACTCAGGAATATGTCAATCCAGTCCTTTTTGAAAACAAGATTCCCTTTGATGATTCTGGAAATGAAGATAAACATCAAGGCAAATAATTAATTTTGAAAAAAGTAGCAGACACAATTATTTGCAATTTTCTTTTTATTCTGGCTGTTCAGTTCTTGTTTATTTGAGTGACACCACAATCATTACAGCTAATCATATTTCAGAACAATTTTAGAAAATAATTGATGCAGCAAATTGTTCTGTCTTAAGTCCTAAAGATATTTCAAAAGAAAGAGATTTTGGAGAAGTGATTCTCTTCAAACTTCAAAGTGCATGAGAAAGCAACCTATATGCTAAATAAAACTTATTCCAATCTATCTGCATACAGAAGAAAAGCATCAACAATACAAAACAGGCAGAGTCTTAATCCAATAGTTTAAGCAGAAAGCTAAATTCTGTTCTTATATGTTTCTCAATGCATGAGTACCACAAGAGAGAGAGAGAGAGAGAGGGGGGGGGGGGATTAGGAATATAACTATATGTATTCATACAAGCACTGGACAAATACGTCGAAATCCAAGTTCCAGGAAGCTTGAAAGATGACTATATTTTCAACAACAATAAGCTTGCATCATAAGTTACAATCGCTCAGTTAATGTTTATGCGTTGGTAAGAACTTCGTTGAGATAGACTCATAGACAAAGTGGTTAAAAGCTTCCAACAGTGCTGTTTAGTTATCAAACACCAATGAACTAGAAAAAGGAGGAAGGCACTAAAGAGACACTGGTGGTTTATGAATCGAACAACAAGCAATCAATCAATCAATCAATCACAGGCCAATATTTCATAAACATAGCGCTTCAAAAAGCTAGAGCCTAGGTACCAGGATAAACTAGACAAAATTATCAAGAAAGATCAAGGAACATGCACCAATGTCTACAACATTTTTGCAGTCACAAACAGACATCAGTAATTGTCAAACATAGATTATTCTACAAGTAATGAAATTTCAGGTTATCTTTCTCATCTGCATTAGAGCAACGTCTTATAACTGTAAGGACAAAATAACATTACTCTGTGATGGTTCAACAGAAAACATTATTTAACTACAGGGTTATTACTATGAATGGTTTTCGGGGAAAGAAGTACTTTCCTTGCGAGCATGCTGAAATTAGTGGTTCTGGCTGAATTGAAAGGTACATGTTGCCTCTATGAAAGCTATTACCGTCTCCGCAGAGGGCGCTGAAAAAACAGAATAGAGTTAATAAACCTTTTTTTTATAAACTGTGTGTCTCAGATAAATAAATCAAAAACAGCCAGTCAGAGTTGATGAAACAAATTGTCCCTCCCAGCAAATAACACAATCAATCGCTTCACCTTCTCAATTCTACTAAACAAAGAAAAGAAAAGAGTATGGATCGCATAGGCACTTACTCTTGGTATGTTATCAGTTGCTTGTGGCCGTCTGGCAGACATTCCATCTGGATTTGGAACCAGCTCTGGACCGCCATGCTTATAAAATGCCTGTAAGGCTCTCCCAACAAATGGGCGAACTAAATTCACTTCCATGGCAGATAGATCCTTGACCTGCAAGTACAAATCAAATCTGCTCAAGAGCACCAATTAAAAGGGAAAAACAAAGTAAACACATAGTAGAAGTACTCAATGCTCTTTCTCTCACAGTGGCCCTCACACTCACACACTCATTGATAATACATGCTGTTCAGATACAATATATATGATATGTTCCCATGGATATAATACCACCATTATGAATTCCATATTAAATGACATCAGAAAAGAGTTCCATATTATATAACAAGGCATTCAAAATTGTTCCAACCGGTTCATCCAATTGCACCATAGATAAATGCACATACCATCACTGCAGAAGAGTGAGCCTCCTCGAATGATTCTAAGCTAGTCTCAACCTTATGAAACCTTACATCCCTGATGTCGTTAATAAGAGACCTCACCTATTAGAAATAACTACAGTGAGATCATTGCAAATATGATTGATAGTTAAATAAAGGTTGAAAGAGTCCTGAACTCACCATATATATGTCAGGAATGTCGTCGGGTGCACTATCATAAAAAAAGTTTCAGATGCCACCAACATAGTTTTACAACGAAATATAGAATATGTACAATGTTTCACAACTTACTATTCAAAAAGAAGGCTAGAGATTTCAACATAATGGAAAGGTAGAACTTGAAATGCTGCCTGAGAATCGCGCTCTGCTTCCAAAATCCGAGTCAAGTTTTCTATTCCCAAAACGTAAGTCAAAGATATGGAATGCGTTAGATTACTGACAGCATATGACTAGAGAGTTCAAAATAATGGAAATGCGTTTGAGTTCCAATTTCCAATTCCATGTTAAGTACTAAGTACTACCAAATTCAACAAATGAAAAGGTTCCGGTTAAATACGTATATTTCAACATTCCATTACATCATAACTCAATCCGATCAACCTTAAGACTTGAGGCTCCAAGACCGAGACTATAACTTACGTCTATTCATATACTAAATTAAAAAATTCTCATGTCAATCTAACTTACGTCTAGCCTTGATCATCTGTTGATGTCATTTATTTTTCCTTCAACAATAAACCAAAAAACTCTAACATATTAGATGCTGATGCTAAGGCTCACAAGCAATTCCAACGAAAATACTCCACAATGGCAGCCAAAAGAAGCCACACAAATTTTGAACTATTTGCAATGACGAAGGCAGCATGGTAACCACCCAAATACATTCGTAATCAAAGCATAAAACTTTACTGGATATTCAAACAAATCAATCCTTTCAAGCACATTTCTTCGACATTCTTAGATATCGTGTTGCAAACACAGAACCAGAAATCAAACTAACACGAAAGAAGCAGGACTCACCGATAGACATCCACTCTGGGGGCCGAATTGTGCATTTCCCTCTCTTCTTCATAGCAATCGCCAGCCACAACGGTACTTGGGTTGCCATTTGCGGGTAGAATGGACCAAAATCTCCCTGTAAATTCATAGTTAAAAGTTAAACCAGCTCAGTCTGTCATACAATAACATGTAAAAAGTGAACAACTTACACAGAGCATGTTGAGAGGATCCATTCGCATATTGGGAACGATCTCCACCATTTCGTCTTCGGCCATAAACTCGACCTGCGATTTCAAAAATTATAATTAAATTCACAGAAATGGTCGAAATTAAAACAAAACAACCACATTAAGCTTATAAAACAGATGAACACGCGGTGGTAGAGAGCTGAACCTCTTCGCCGGAAAAGGTAGACAGGCTGGGATCGGTTTGGCCTGCCATCCCTTGAATAATCGAGTCCGATGAAGAATTGAGAGTGATAGCGTAGCAAATTGAGCTCTAATTAAGTCGATTGGGGTCGGATATTTGGGGATGCAGAATGGAATGGCGCGGACGCTTGTATCATAAATGGCGGTGCACAATTGGGGATTTATAAACCCTAACTTTGGTGGCGGGAAACTTTTTTTTTTATGAGAATATTTAAATTTTGTTTTCTTCTAAAAAATTTGAAAAATAATTAAAGTATTTAGATATCAAAATATTATTACTTAATACTATAATTTAATAATATTTTTTTTATTTGTAAGTAAGAGATTTTATAAGTAAAATATATTGAAAACTAGGCATTTTTAAATTTGGACTTTGAAAATAATTGTTTAAGCTAATTCCTTGTAAGTTGCTGATGATAAAGTGATAAACCGTTAATTTCTTTTATTTATTGTATTTTGTTACAAAGTTTATATATATAATTGTAAATAATAAATTTGAAAGAGGCGGATTACCTCGGTGATTAGACTTTTTATCTTCAACACACTAGGTTCTACGTTTTTTTTTTTTTTTTTTTTTAGTACATTGAGCAGAGGAGTTTAGTTAAGCCACATAATAGGTAGCCTAATTTGGCATTGAATTCACCATCCACGAGATTCAAACCTAAGACCTTTCACTTCTAAGCGAAGAGGAATATCACCAGACCGTAGTACTGAGTAACCACTAGATTCTGGATTTAAACTATATATCTTTCCCTAGTGTAAAATATCGCTTAGGAGGGTGTATTCAATTGAGAATTTGAAAGATTTTAATTTTTTTAATGAATCTAGAGGCATTTAATCAGGATTTTAAGTGAGTTTTTGAAATTCACCATATATTCAAACAAGATTTTAAGATAGTTTATTAAAATACTTAGGAATTCAAGTGTATTCAATTATGATTTCAAAGAAGTTTAATAACATTTCAGGTGTATTCAATTATGAATTTATTTTAAAGAATTTTAAAAGTTGAGGAATTTGAGGGAAATTGAGAGATTTCTTAGTGCAATTTACTAGAGTGTATTCAAATGGAAATTTAAGATATTTTAATATATTTATAAATCTTTTAAAGAGGTTAATTGATTTGTAGAGATTCCGTGTAAAGTTTTGATTCAATTCTATTGCAATCTTATGGGGAGAGGTGCGATTTGTGGATACTTAAAATATACTACGAAATCTCTTCAATTATCTCTATTTCCTCAACTTTTTCAAATTATTTAACATCAAATTCTAATTGAATACATCTAAAATGTTATAAACTTCTTTAAAATCTTAATTGAATACACTCAGATTTCTAATGATTTTAATAAACTATTTTAAAATCATGATTGAATACCCATTGAATTTCAGAGAATTACTTAAAATCCTAATTGAATACCTCTAAATTCATTAAAAGAATTAAAATCCTTCAAAATCCCAATTGAATACACCATCTTTAAGCATTCACAAATTTCACCTCTCTCTTTAAGATTTCAAGGGAATTGAATAAAAAATTTTCACGGAATCAATACAGATCAATTAAACTCTCTTAAAGTCCATGGAAATCCATTAAAATATCTCAAATTCTCAATTGAATACACTCCCCTTATAATGAAACAAAATTTGAAAAAATTAAATTTAAAAAATATTAATATAAAATTAGCAGATTTGGCAGGCCCAAATCACTTCAAATCAGGCCTAACTCAAAATTTTGGATTTAGAAGAGGTAGGCCCAAATCCTTCTGGTCAAGGAGAGGTGTGGAGGCCCAAATCCCGTATAAAATTTGCTTATTTCGGAAATAGAGATGGTATTTGGTGAATTTCTTGAACAATTTCCTAAAGAGTTTAAAATCTCAATATAGGCAGCACCAAGTTCGACAACAGAAAAAGGGCTTAAAGGGTTTCGCTCAAATACGTGTAATTTTAAAATTTTATTTTAACACGGCGTATTTCAATTCCTATCTTAAGGCATTTCACCAAAGATATGAGACTACAAGAAACCAAAACTCTAAAGTTTCAAACACATGACCTAGACCGTCAAACTTGGTGCTTATACCATTCTCACACGCTCGAAGCCTATGTCTTTGGCATAGGACCCTATATACTCATGGCATCTGGCACTAAAACTAATATGTATAACCAAATTCAGCCATACTTAATAGATTGACGAAACAATTAAACATGTATCTTATTTTCAAATTTCTTATTACATTTAAAGTACTTCCTTGAAACTCATAACAAAGTTACATCATCCAACACACAACTTTATAAGTTTACACAAGTACAAGTGAATATAAGCTCCAACTAGGTTGGTGCTTTTACCCCTTTACAATACGAGAAGGTGACATGCAACAAGAAGCAACGTCAGAGACTCAGAGATGCACTTTCAAAAACCAACAAACCAAACATCTACACGCACGCCGCATCAATACTTATATAAACAACCTTAAAGCATGACTCTATTTTTTACTAAAACGATATATTTTACATTAAGGAAAGAAAGAGTTCGGCTAAATCACACAATAAACAACTTAATTAGGTATCAAATTCGCCATGCACGAAATTCGAAACTAAGATTTCTCACTTACAAATAAAGAGGAATACCACTAAATCGTAGTACTGAGTGACTAAAGCATGACTTTATTCTTTAAAAAATACATTAGGCGTGACTTGTTAGAGAATGTTTAATTAAATAATAATAATTATTATTTATTTTTAAAGACAGGAATATAAAAGCACCACGCATGCATATAACAGCATGCCTTGAGTGTTAGGTGTAACTAATGCGTACATGGCATTTGGCACTTGGCGTTTGGTTCTTTTACCTCCTTAGAAAAACTAGGCCCTGTTTGGCACACCGTATAAGACACCGGATAGTACTAATAATACGGAGTACCGTGTTTGGTGTTAGTTTGGATTAAATAGCCATCGGATTAAATAATCCGGCCCCACTTCCTTTATCCGGCTGATACCCGCTTAGTTGTACCGCTCAAAACCATGGTATTATTTAGTCGGGTAGAAGCACGCCTCTCTCTGTTCCGCCCTCCTGCAACTTCTCCTCCTCCTCCTCCTCCTCCTCCTGCTCCTCCTCTGTTCTGCTCTCCTGCAACTTCGCATCCTCCTCCTTCTCTGATCACCGCGAACTGCGTAAGCGGAGGAAAGAGGAGAGTCGCGATGGACTGACGAAACTCAATGGTTGTGGCTGTCCTGCAGCAATGGCAGCAGTGACCGAGATTATCTTTATCTTCTCTGCGTTTCCCTTCGCCGCGGCTGCTGCACGTTGTTGTTCCAATACTTCAATGGCTGCTGCATTCCCGTTTTGGCTTCCGTTTGACATCGGCGGTGATGCTTCAAATGACAGAGAGGTGGAGATGTGAGAGGCTTCGGTGTAGGACGCGATAAGAGAGAGGACACGAACGGGCTTTAGGGTCTGCTTCTACATCTGAGGGCGTTGATGGTCTTTGTAGAGTGCCCGTCTCCATTTCATTTTGCTTTGGGAATGGGAGAAGCAAACTGCTTCTTTTTCTGCAGTGCAAAGTGAAGAAACAACAGTATAAATATTTTGAATTCCATTAATCATCAAAGTGCTTTATTTTGAATTCCATAAATATTTCTGCAAAGTGCTTTTTTTCCATTAATCATCAATTTTTATCTTAAAAATAATAATATTTTGAATTCCTCCTATCCGGTATAATATCAAACACAGTATAAATAATACAATTATTAGTCCGATACTACACCAAACGCCCGACTAATTTAGTCAGTACTATCCGGTGGCTATTTATCCTATCCGACGTAAATAGTCAGTACAGTCCGAGCTGCCAAACAAGGCCTTAGTGGATTGCAAATGGATTTAAAAAAATAAGAGAATTCAGACGGTTCTATAGCAAGGCATACGACAAGATTAGTTGCCAAAGATTTAACCAAGAACTTGGTTTGAATTATGGCGAAACATTTAGACTTGTGGTTAAACCAACATCTGTGACATTGATTTTAGTTTGAGCAGCTCATTTCAAGTGGAACTTCAGACAGTTAGATGTTAATACTTTTAAATTTATACTTTTGATGGAGAAAGTCTTAAGTCGAAAGCCAAACCTCCTTAGTCCTCTCTGGCTCAAATTCAAAAATTATCACATGGTCCCACCATTTTTTAATTTGAGATCCCCACTGTTTCATGTATTGACACTCAAAAGATTCTCTTTCTTTCTAATATCTCTCTCGTTTTTTCTTCTCCTACTTAAATAATCATGACTAAACTACGTTAATACTTTATATTAATTTTTTAATAAAAGCCAATAAGACAAAAAGTAAAGCTATAGAAGAAGAGCGGAAAGGAGATAAGAATAATAGAAGAGAGAATTCTACTCCCTCAAGATTGTGGTGTGGTCCGCGTGGACCTGTGCGGGCCGTACCCATATACAAATGTGGATACCAAAGCCCCGTACCCATATACAAATGTGGATACAAAAATCCATGGACTCAGCTCACCAAGGCTCCACCTAATCCGCTAACAAATCCGCTAACAACCACCCACGTCCCGTGACACACGGGAAAGAAAACCAGCGGGCCCTTAAGACCACATTAATAGACGAACCTACCCCTCGTCCATTACTCATAATCCAAATGATGCGCCCAAGCATATTCCAAATTCCTAGACCAAAAACGTAATTCCGCCCGATAATGTGGGCCCAAGCAAATGGAATCCACAGATGCCATGCCCTTGGGCAACAAGGAAAGCCGCAGTTAAATCAGACCCCAAAAACCCGAAAGGCTAAAACACAGTTTACACCCTCTGTTGTGCCGATTTCGATAATATCCAGAAAATATGGGCAGGAAGTTCTTCGTCGGCGGCAACTGGAAATGCGTGAGTTCTCCGATTCGTCATCTCCTATGTGTTTATTTTTTTTAGTCTTTCAATCTGTTTGGTTGCTGAGAAAATCAAAGAAATTCACGGAAAATAATCAGATTCCGATACTTTCTCAGCAACCAAACAGATCCTTGTTTTTTCGATTCCGATTTGTTTTATGCTCTGATTTCGATCGAACCGAGTGGTGATTTAGTTAAATCTGAGCTGATTCTGAATCTGTGTGTAGAACGGAACCTTCGATGAGGTGAAGAAGATCGTGAACATACTCAATGAGGGGCAAGTTCCATCGCAAGATGTTGTGGGTGAGTTGATTGCACCGATTATTTACTTCCGATTTCAGTCTGATTTATTTGCCTTTTTCTGCTTCAATCAACTGATGAGATTTACTGATCTGTGTGAGTTATCAAACCGTTAATTTGTTCTGTGGCTTTTTCTGATTGCAGAGGTTGTGGTTAGCCCTCCGTATGTGTTTCTTCCGGTGGTGAAGGGTTCATTGAGGCCCGAATTCCATGTCGCTGCACAGAACTGCTGGGTCAAGAAGGGTGGTGCCTTCACTGGTGAAGTTAGGTGTGTGTATTTATGATTTACTAGCTTTCGATTCGTAGTGTTGACATCTGGATTTAACTCGGTGAATTGTAGAAATTGAGAATGTATATTGCTGATTTTTGTGTATTTTTAATGATTTGATGATGTGCCTAGAAATTGATACTTTTATTAGAGATGTAATTATATTGCTGATAAGGAAATATCGGAGTAAGAGGCATCTGTTCTGATGTAAAAAAAAATTGAATACATTAGAACGAAGCATCAATCTGTGAAGATCGTTTGTTTACAAAACCCTTATCACTTAGTTTCAACTTTCGACTTTCTGGAAATATTTTAGATGATGAGTGATGAATTAGTAGTGACAAATTCAATGAGCTATAGGCATATAAGCATGAATATATTGAATGTGCATCATACATGCCCTGTCTATTGAATTTTTATTTTTCACTTCGCATTTTACTCTGATTAAGTAAATTTAAAAGATTTGTTGTGTATATTCAGTGCTGAGATGCTAGTCAATCTCGAGGTTCCATGGGTCATTCTTGGTCATTCGGAAAGAAGACTGATTTTGGGTGAATCCAATGAGGTATGCTTCCCCTTCCCCTGTATTGTTAATCAATTTATCAATAATGACTGCGTAATAGTTTCTCATATATCACACACTTCATTCAGTTTGTTGCGGATAAGGTTGCATACGCACTTTCTCAAGGTTTGAAGGTGATAGCCTGTGTCGGTGAGACCCTTGAGCAGCGAGAAGCTGGCACAACCGTGGAGGTTGTTGCCGCACAAACCAAGGCAATTGCAGGTACATAATGCATATCAGAACTCTGTTTTATTGGCCTACTGTTAGTTTGAAGAATATTTGTTTTGTTGTGACTTGTGAGTCTGCTTAATTTTCTTTCTTTACTCATCTAAATGATGCTTTCTATTGCAGAGAAAGTGAAAGATTGGACTAATATTGTTTTGGCGTATGAGCCTGTGTGGGCCATTGGAACTGGGAAAGTTGCATCTCCAGCTCAGGCTCAGGAAGTAAGTGGTGCCTTTATCTGATTAGCTGGATGTGGTTTTGTATATTAGCTTCAGTTTGAACTCGATGTTGTTTGTGTATGTAAGAGCATGGGAAAAAATGTTATTGGTAAAAATTTTAAAATGGGCACAATTCAAGAAGATTGTGTAGCCTTCTTTGTCTTTAAGGTCAGATAAAACTGAATTAAACGGTGCTTGAATGAGCAAATATTTCTAAACCGTCACCAACCCACTTTTGTGGTTGGGATTTCCTGGGTCATATACTGATATTATGCATATGTTATATGTATGCATTTGTGTATGTATATACATATTGCACCCTGTCTGTGTTTCACACAAATATTTCTCCATACAACAGGTGCATTTTGAATTGAGGAAATGGCTTCAAGCAAACGTCAGTTCTGAAGTTGCTGCATCAACGCGCATTATTTATGGAGGTATGTTTCACACCTCTACTGCATCATTTTGTTGTTTATCTGCTTGGACATCCCATCCTTTTCTCACTTGCAACTCTGAATCAACTAAAATATATTTCTGTTGACTGATGAGCTTTTCCCCCCTCCAAGATGAATAATATCTATAGAACTAATAAAAGAGTCGGTGACTTTTTGAAAAGTTGTATGACTCTCCCAATAATGCAGCTTACGACAATTTGTATACATGTTTCTTTACCCTAGAGCATGGACTTTTAAGTCTCCATTCTGCTTATATACAAAAATGGATGCTTATTAAAACATAGTTTACTATGACTGACTCGGGTGAAAGATTGAAATTCGAAAGGGGTTAGAGGGTAGGATTCATCTGTTGTATGGATGGAAGCTATCATGTGCCAAAGTCATTTTGAGTTGTAAACATATTTGTTCTCTTGCGAAGAATTCATTATGTCTTTGTGTTTGATTTAAGGAGTGCACTCAGTTATCATGGCTTTCTGTTGACTAAAACGCACGCATTCTCCTTTGTATATATGGGAAAGATAAGGAGTCCACTTATCTTTCTCTGTTCCCATTCACAACACTTGGCTGAATTGTATAATTTTTTCAGGGTCTGTGAATGGTGCAAACAGCAAAGAGCTGGCTGGTCAGCCTGATATTGACGGATTTTTGGTTGGTGGAGCTTCTCTAAAGGTAATGTTCATTCGCAATGCATACTAAATGCATGTGCTATGTTTCGTTAGTAAAATAAAAGCTTTCTTATCACCAAGTTTATCGACATTTGTGATTCTGTTGTGCTTTTTGTCTCCAGCCTGAGTTCATCGACATCATCAAGTCAGCGGAGGTGAAGAAGAGTGCCTAAAGACTGAAGAGTTGGACCTGATGAGAGTAGTGTGACTGTTAGGTCTCTTGTCTAGGAAGAGTTGGACCTGATGAGAGTAGTGTGACTGTTATATCTCTTGTCTGGGAGGTAGCGAATCTTTTCCGTACAATTTTACAGATTCTCGTTTGAGGAAATAATTATGCTCTTTTTTGTTCAGCAGAATCAGCACCTAGATATGGGTTTTTTCCTGTATTAATAAATATTCTCACTGTTAATGCTTTTAATTCAAGTTTTTTCGCTCTCAAGATCCAAACTTTCCAGTTTATTTGATCAAAGAAAATCGAAATTATTGTAGCTTGAGTGATTTGTGGCAGCGCTGCGCTCGCATAGTCAAAGTGATTTCTGCACGTTCTTTTTGTCCCATGCACAGCAAACAAACAGTAGTAGAAAAAATACGAGTGCGGAAATTATTTTTCTCAAAACTGTGCTTATTTTCTAGCCAACTAAAAAAGCAGCACAGCTTTAAGAGCTGATTTGGTATTGAGGTGATTTTGAAAAAAGTTATCAAAAAAAACTGGGAACTGTTGTTGTGTTTGGTAAATATTCAGCTTCAGCTTTTTTTCATAATTTTGGGTGAAAAAAAGCCAAAAACAAGAAGTTGCAAAACCCAGCTTTGAAAAACCTGCTTTTTTTCACATCTGTTTTACATAAAAGTTTACCAAACACTATAATACTATTTTTTTTTTCAAAAGCACTTTTACAAAAAAGTTTACCAAACACTCTGCTGCTTTATTTCACAACTGCTTATTCTCATAGCACAGCAAAAACAGTTTTTTTTCAAAGCACAGAAATACCAAACCAATCATAAATCTCTAATGGGCACTAACGAAAACAATGTGGAATGGGCTTCACGGAGTGGAGCCACCTTTTGTTCTCCCCGAAAAGGAGTTTTATGATTTCATGCTGATGGCCCATGAGGTCAGGCTGCATCTATAAGTTACACACTTAAATGAAGGTAAATCATTTAACCTAACGGAATCTGACGGCTCTGGTTAAAATGTGTAATTACTGATTGGCTCGTGTTCAAGGCTGCATATTGTCATGTTGGATTACTGATAGGCTTGTGTTCGATCACAGTTTTACACGTGGATAGAAATAACTCACGTTTGATATTGTAATTTGCGAGTAGGTAAGAGAGCGAGTGCTTCCACTAAAGGGAGCCAAGTAATTTTGTCTCATGTTTTGTCTATGTAAGAGTGACGTCCTCGAATCGTTTTAGATTTTAGTGATCCTATCCTCTTTATGCTTCTTGTTTGCAGTCAAATCCTTGAAATTGCTAGTCTTTTTTATCCTGCGAGTCCCAAAGGACCACTTTCTATGAGAGGATTTTATTCGTGTGGTGCCCCCGAATACACATACGCAGATTTTGGAGTTGACTTATGGCGCATACGACACTGAAACATTTCCTCTTCCCTGCCACTTGCTGTGACTTTTGTAATGAGCTTTCACAACTTCCCATATCTTCCAAAGATATTACTCATACAATGCATGAATGTTGTAATTACAATGAAATGAACATGAATGCTAGACTACAGGTATTCGTGATTATAAGTTGTTAATGCATATAGGTATAAATCAAAGCTCAAAATGATCCCCTGCCATTGTTGCATTGAGTAATACCGCAGGTTCCAAAAGACGTTAGGCGCTAGTAAGACGACGTGCTAGACCCTAACGCCTAGACGAATTTAAGTAAATTTGTTTATATTTCGTGTAAAGAAATGTATGTTTATACTTAGAATATATATAAACAAGAAGATAAAATGATATATATATATATATATATATATATTACGAAGTATTGGAACATAATGAAAATATGGAGAACAAACATATAATGTGTGTTCATTTAAGCATTCAACAAATCTTTTACAATTTACTAAAAAAAATAATATGCAAAATGAAATTCATCTATTTTTTGTCTATGTGAGTTGCAACCTAGGCAGGTGCCTAGGCGGATCTGGGTGGGTTAGGCGGGTGGCTAGGCGATCTAGGCGGGCGCCTTAGCAGGTCTAGGCGCCCTTTCTTAATTTTCAAATGCCTAGGCATTAATCGAGGCGGTGACTAGCCGCCTAGCGCCTAGACGCGGCTTAAGCGGCGCTAAACAGAGATTTTTAGAACAACTTATGCGTGATAGTTGAGCCTAAAATCTATTAGAAAGAGAAGATTCTCGGTTGTACTCAAAGATAGGTATTCCAAGAGTCTGATTGATGTAACTATCAAAAGTAAGAATCACTCATTCCACTTTGAGGAGCCAAAGATTTTCCTTTCATGTTGAAATCAGATCCTCGAATTGCTTTAGTTAGGCCGATCTTTATCTTGTGAGTCTAAAAGACCACTTTCTATTAGGGATTCATGTTTATATTGACTGACCGCGGATATGACAATGAAACATTTGTGAATTTTTTAATGAGCTTTCACAAGATCGAATATCTTGCAAAGATATTACTCATACAATGCATGCATGGATGTTGTGATTACAATGAATAAAAAAAAAAAAAAGAATGTTAAGCTCAGTCGTTTACGTTCAAAATGCGATCGTGAGCTGTTAATACAAGTGATCTTGGCCATATCACCGAACTACGTACATTATGGGACCAAACTATGCATTGGAAAACTAAGCCTAACGTATCTTTGATATTGTATTATAAGATCAAACTACTCATCAGAGAACTAAACTTAACGTATCTTTGATTGTATGTAAGAATTTTTAGCTTACGATGAATCGATGAGGTAGTTGACATCGTTGACTTATACTTACTCTGTCCGAAGAAGCATGACAGTCGCCCAGAGCCATTTCTCTCGTGAAATGCTGTCGTTGCTCATATTCTAAATGTGACCCCTATTTTTCGTGCCTATGGCCTGTCCTTTAATAATATTTATTTTTCCATATAATATTTTAGATCAGAAATTTGATTAGGGGAGTTAGCTGAGCACAAGATTAATTAAAATTAAATATTATCATGAGGTGAAGGATTACCAAACATACAGACTTTAATCAATATCTAATCACAATTATATATTTATAAAATTAAATCACAATATTTAACATATCTTTTGCACCCTTTGAAAAGTCAGAACTTTAAGCTAAGGCTGAAGAAAAAGTCAAACAATGACTCATTTTCTTGGCCTTTTTTTCTACGTAAAAATTCATCCATTTCACACTAAATGTAACGGCCTCAACCACTATTTTTTTTCTTTATTTGGCTCAAATTCTTCATCAATCGAATATTTGTTTCGAAAATGTTAAATTTTCTGTAATATACATATATATATATATATATTTTTTTTTTTTTTTACTGCCATGGAAGAATTAAGTTATTTATTTTTAGAGACTTGAGGTAAAAGGGTAAAAGAATGCCTAAAAATATTTGGAAAGAGACTTTATGATAAGACATGGAGTATTTGCAGTTGCAATTAGCGGAAGACTTGGAAAGAGACTTTATGAAAAAATATAGAATACTTGCAATTGCAGTTAGCGGAAGACTTGGCGCAAAACCGATCACAATCGTTCTAGAATTATACAAAGCACCATATTTAATGAGATAATGTTTCGTTGTTGTTCTTGACATTGTTTATAGTTTTTTTACAAAATAATCTGATCTGGCTGAATATTTTGATTTATTAAATTTTACGACAGCCTAATACTTTGGAGTGGACCCCATAGACAAATCAAAACAAATATTTGACTGTCCATTTCTAATTTTTCTATTTTCTACCCGTTTATTCTGTCCGTACGAAATGGGGACTTTTATGATCGTTCATCATTTCCTCTTTAACTTGTACACCAATTAAATTCAAACAATATTTTAGTTTTTATAGTCATTTTCTTGCATTTTCTTTTATATAAAAATGGTAGATTTACCACTTAGTACTACGATTTAGTAGTCTTCATATTCACTTGTAAGTGAGAGGTCTTAGATTCAATTTTCGTCAAAAGTGAATTTGAACCACATTATTGCTAACTCATTGTAAGGCTAAACCCACCCCTACCGCTTAGCATAGATAATATCGTTTGCTCAAAAAGGAAAATGTAGATTTTGTTTAAAAAAAATTTTAAGTGTTTGGGTGCCAATAGAAGGAGAGGTTTTTCAGTATGCTCATAATACAGGTATATAAGCCATGATGTGCACCATGTCATTATACAAATAGAAAAACATTTGAAAAGAAATGTTTTTTTTCTTCACTTATATATGAAGACTTCGAGCATATTGAAAAATTTCACAAAAGGAGCCTACCAACAATTACGATACAATTCCTAGAATGAGAATCCTCTCTAAATCTTCTTTGTGAGGATTCAGGAAATCCTTCATTTACGTCTGTTCATTGTACATTATGCGATCAGTTTTTGTCAGGTATTATTTATATTCAATTTTAAATAAAAAATTACAATAATTTTTGACTGTATGATATACAATAAACGATTACAAAATTCTCGATACAAAGACCAATTTCTATTCCAAAGGGGGGCCGCTGTGACGCATTGGCTGATCAGAGAAGCCACTAAAGCCGCGACAAGAAGTCGAGTATGAGATTAAATGTCAAGCCTCTGAAAAGGAAGACATTTGTTGTATTATTTATTACTTATTTATCGTGTTATGATGATTAATGAGCCGCAGCTACAAAACGGTTAGGAATTTCATTCCCTTCCTTTCTAGTCCCTCTCTAGTATTGAGAATTGTTATTGGCATTCCAAATATTTCATTTTATATTTCAATTTTTTTATATTTGGAAAGAAAAATACACTTGTGAAGAGTGTAGATCGAGATTTTTAGAGTACCAATAACACTTTCTTCCCCTTTTTTTTATTTAATCGGTTGCAATTAAGCTACAAATTTTTTATATAGAGAAAAAGACAAAAGTGTGAGAGAAGGGGAGAAAATGGAATGGTAATAAGAGGAGAGAGAATTATATTCCAACATTTTAAGGCAAAAGTAACTACTCTTCGTACATAAAAAGCCATTCATATTTGTTCCCGAAAAACTAGAGAAGTTTTATGCACGCTTGCTATATGTGGATATTTAAGGAGAAACGATTCATTTCCTATAGAAACTAAATATTTTCTATTGGGAAATCTCGCACGGAATCGCTGCAAGTGTAAATATTTTTTTTTGTGAAGAATACGGATCTCACGTAAAAGCTAACAGCGTGAATTACAATACATAATGAATGGTTCTACATACTATTTAATATACAAAAGTTGTTTATGATAAAATCTCACACATTTAAGGTGTTGTAACTGATGTTTAAGGAAAATATCAAAGTATTTAGTAGTGAGCCGATGATCTATCTGTTAGAAATAACTCTCATGGCTAATCATTATCATGAACATAATTAAACCAACGTTAAACCCGTAACTTGAGTGAGAGTTGGCTTTCGTTTCACTACAAGAATTACATGGAAGAGAAGTAAAACGCACAGCAGAGGCTGCAGCCATGCAAACCTGTCACACGCACCCACTAGAGAGAGAGAGAGAGAGAGAGATGCAGACAGCACGTAATTTGGATAAGCCCCATTGAACACTCTTTTCTTTTTACCATTTTCCAATCCACCAACGTGCTGCGTGCAGATAAAGAAAACACCAAAAGAAACGCTCAAGTGGGGGATGGCAAGTCAAACCTCTCACACTTTTGTCCTTCCCGAAGGTCGAATAAAAGAACTTTCCCAGCAACCAAACACCCCCACATGTACCTGAAAAATCTGCTATGTTCAAAGCACAGAGCTTTTCTTTGATCTCTTCAATTTTTTCCACTATTCAATTGCTGAGTTATTTCGTGCTCTTGACAGCTAGGTGTTTGTGAAAAAGCCTAGCCGAGAGAGAGAGAGAGAGAGCGTTCACACTGATTGGTGAGACCATCATCTTTGATTCACGGTCTTCTGCTTTTGCTTGCGCTTTGCAACTTGTTTGCAAACTTGGGTTTCTATTTTTTCCTCCTCTTCTGGCAGTTGGGTCTCGAAAGACGTGTTCTTGGGACGTTTTCTGGTGATGGGTTCTTGCTTAAGTTCTAGAATTAAAGCTGACAGCCCCCATCATAATGGTAATTAAGTTTCATCAAGTTTAAGATTCATCATTTAGTTTCTTAACTCTGTTAATTAAAAGTTTGGAACTTTGATCAAAGTTGGTTGTGTTTGATTAATGCAACATGCAGTTTTGGAGTTTATAGCAGCTATAGCATAGTTTGCTGTTTTTTTTTTTTTTTTCTTTTTTTGGAATTTTGTTCTGATGCTGTTCTGATGAGTCCTGCTTCTTGGTTTATGTGACTTTTACTGCTCCGGTTTAAGATAATGAAATTTCAAGGAGAAACTTGAAATTTATTTGTAATTAATGATGAACTTCGTAATTTTCCTTTTTTGTTCTGTTTAAATTTCCTCATATGGAAAAGCAAGACCTCTTGGAACCGAACCTCGAGCACCATGTTAGATTACCATGGTACTTCATAAGCTGTGGCATCATCCGAAGCTAACCATTTTGTTGTTGAAAGTCAATCGATGCCAAATTCGAGATTTAAGTTTTTGTACCATATACAGGAACAACTAACTTAGCCTTACTGTTTTATATTGTGATGTTATAGATTCTTGTTAGAACTTATATATGATGACTGAATGTTGAGCATTATATGGTATTTGAAATGTGTAGGATTACATTCAAATAGCAAGGTGTCGTCTGTCTCAGTGACTTCAACTCCTCGGACAGAGGACGAGATCTTGCAATCCTGCAATTTGAAGAGCTTCGCCTTCAATGAACTGAAAACTGCCACCAGGAACTTCCGTCCTGATAGTATGGTGGGTGAAGGTGGTTTCGGCTCTGTTTATAAGGGGTGGGTTGATGAGAATTCATTAACAGCTGCCAAGCCCGGTACTGGCATGGTTATTGCTGTGAAAAGGCTTAACCAAGAAGGTCTCCAGGGTCACAAAGAATGGTTGGTGAGTATCACTTCTATCCTTCTTTTGCTTACAGGCACTTTCCGAATATCTTTTTTATTTGTTTTTGGTGCAATCAAATATTTGAAAATCTAATATGCATTGACCATCAATTTCTCAGAGTCCCCCATAGAGGAAAAGATGTGTTTAGGTCGAAGGGCTAATATATTGAACCAATCTTAATGAATCTTCTTCCGTTATAGTTGTTGCATGTATATAACGTTACACGTAATATTTTCACGGAATAATTTATTGACTTTGTGGAGCCTCTTGAACTGTAGACGGAAATCAACTACCTTGGGCAGCTGCATCACGAAAATCTTGTAAGGTTGATTGGTTACTGCTTAGAGGATGACCACCGTCTTTTGGTGTATGAATTTATGCCTCGCGGAAGCTTGGATAACCATCTGTTTAGAAGTGAGTTATGAACTTCCCTCACTCTTTAGCCTTTTGATCTATTAAAGTAAGACATTGTTAAGGATATCAAATATTTCAGTATGAACTATGTAAGTATAATTTAGTGAATTAAAATGTTATTGGTGGAACAGGGGCGTCTTACTTTCAACCACTTTCCTGGAACCTTCGTATGAAGATTGCTTTCGGTGCTGCTAAGGGCCTAGCATTTCTTCACAGTGACGAGGCAAAAGTGATCTATCGGGACTTCAAAACTGCTAATATCCTGCTGGATTCGGTAACTGAAACTTTTAATTGTTGAGTTTTATTGCTTCTAGAAGAATTCTGGTAAGACTTTCTCACACAATTTTAATTGAAAAACAACAGACCTACAATGCCAAACTTTCTGATTTTGGTCTAGCCAAGGATGGCCCAGCCGGTGATAAAAGCCATGTCTCAACAAGAGTCATGGGGACATATGGTTACGCAGCGCCTGAGTATATGTCCACAGGTACGTTTAGTTAACAGGATTGAGTTCACATACAAAAGCAACCTACCCTTAAAAATGGGGGATATTTGTTTACAGCTTCATCTACCTTTCACCAAAGTTGTAACCAAATATTTCTAGGTTCTAACCACAGCCAGGCTTCGATCAATTTTAGAAAGAAAAAAAAGACTTGATACCGTCATGGACTATGACATTATCCCGTCTTCGTATGTAGTACATTGGTGTCTGTTTCCCACTACTCAATACCTATGTTGCATCTGAAACCTTCTGCTACAGCCTACATATTATCCTGCCCTTCCTTGAAGATTTCCCTGCTGCAGTACCCTAAGGAATGACCAGCTTTTGGTTTTGATTTTCCTGTTCATTTTTTTCACCTCTTGAAGATTTCCCTGCTGCAGTACCCTAAGGAATGACCAGCTTTTGGTTTTGATTTTCCTGTTCATTTTTTTCACCTCCATATAGTTGCAGAAAGTTCCGCTGTACTTTTTGGATACGTGATTGACTTACTCCTCACTTCGCTGTGGTAGGTAAAAATCTGTTGAAACAATTTGTTTTCCTTTCACACTTCTGCTTAATAAGAGCTTTCGTCCCGATGTCTTCATCATCTTGATCAGTGCTGCAGCAACCATATGGCTGTATTTTCTTCTTAAATATGACAAGAATGCATGATTGCTCCCTGCTGATCCTTATTTCTTTTTTTTTTTAGGTCATTTAACTGCGAGAAGTGACGTGTATAGCTTTGGGGTTGTTATGCTCGAACTATTGTCTGGCAGACGAGCTGTGGACAAGAACCGGCCATCGGGAGAGCACAATTTAGTTGAGTGGGCCAAACCTTACCTTGCAAGCAAACGCAAAGTTACTCAAATTTTTGACGGTCGTATTGAAGGCCAGTACTCTTTGGATGAAGCTCTCAGAGCTGTGAACCTTGCAATTCGATGCTTAGCTGTAGAACCCAGAGTTAGGCCAACCATGGATGACGTGGTAAAAGCGTTGGAGCAACTTCAGGAGCCCAGTGACTCGGAGGGCTCAGGTATCTCCCAAAATGAACATCGCCCAAACCCTCATGCACATTCAAACCACGCCCCCAAACATCGCAGACACAGCATCAACGGAGTCAACAATGCAGCAACTCCTCATCGTCCCAGGGCATCCGCTTCCCCCATCCCAGCATGAGACATTCATAATCCATGCATGCTTTATCATTAGTTTGATTGGTTCAAGGGAAAACTGGGATTCAGTCTGAAAGGAAAGGGAGGGAAAAGAAATAGGAAGAAGAAAGCGGAAGGAAGCAGATAGTGTGTATATTGAATACTGTATCTTGTAACGAGTATGTAACTGCAGACAGTCGAATAATGTACAATTTTGTTTTGTGAATGCCTTCCTGGTTACTTTTCTCTCAAGCATTTTTTGTTTCTGAGCCTGGAATATGAGGAACTAAGCAGACCACATCAAACGAAGCACCAGAATGATGACAGACCTTCAACGCCTCTCGCGCGCATGGTCCTTATTTCCGCCATGCCAGCGGCAAGCATGGATCTCTGTACACCACAACAGCTTCTACTCTAGCAGCTCCGTACGTAGAAATCCTTTTTCAGTTGTATGCCCGTACCCGTAGCGGAATCTTTAAAACATCTAGAGCCGTATATTATACTGTATTTCTAGTTTTTAGAGTGTATGTAACAAGGTTCTAAAAGATGCTAGTCGGACGGCGGGCAAAGACCTAGCACCTAGACAGATTTAAGTAAATCTATTGTATTTCGTGTAAATAAATGTTTGTTTATACCTACAATATATATAATTTCATTATAAACTAGAAAATAAAATGATATATATATTATGAGGTATTAGAACAAACATTGATCTTCATCGGCAAACATTGATCTTCATCGGCAAACGTACAAAGTGTTTTTAGGTATCTATTTTTTAACTACATAAATCATCTAGATGCCTCGCAATCTAAGTATTCATTCCCAATTTTGGCACTCGTATTTCCGTAGTTGTACTAGGACCCAGCCGTACCTTTAATCATTTACTAGAATTGTAAGGGACACCCACAGAGGTGCGCCCCTCCAAAAATAGGCGTATGCCACTTATAGCTATGAACACACGGTATTCTTTAGTAAAAGGCGAAAGAATAGTTCGCTATGTGCTCAACGCATGGCTCCGTGATTTCAACGCCTTACACGCCGCTTTATTTTATATTGCCTATTCTAGCTCGTTCTTCACGCTCTCGTCGATGTGGGACTTACCTTCCGTTTAGGTACTTGCAGTTCAACAAAAACAGTCTGCACAAGAAAACTTGGCTCAACAAAAGTTTAGCTCCAATTCTTTTTGTCGTCTGCCCAGTTACATTTAGCCTTCAAATAGCCTTCAAAAATCATCTCCCATTATTTCCCCTTGATTTGATAAACTAACTGAAGCTCCATGATTAAATTAAACTTCCAGTCCCAAACCAAGTTTCATGAAGAACCAGTTTCTAGCAAACTCTCATTTTGTTTGTCTTCTGTTGGAGATAATTATATGAATGATAAGCAGCAGCCGATTCTGAAACGCGACCACGGGTGGTTAAGATGGGGACACTATCGGTGTTGGACAAGTTAGACAGCGGGCATGCATCGCCTGTTGGAAATTTCAAAACTCATTCTGTTATTAGTTTTTTTTTTTTTTTTTTTTTCCGTGGGTTTGGTTTTGCATCGCTATTGTATTCAATGAAAACGTTGAAAAGTCTGTTTATATATGCTGTCTATGATCGTGTAGAAATTTCAAATAAAAAACATGGTTACAAAATGTGTCTGGTCAACTGTAATATGTAAACTTGGTAATCTTTGTTCTTGTTACTTGTTTCTCCTCCGCCTTGCAGTTGCATGACGACCTCTCTGCAGTCCCCTTTACTCGGTCCCTCGACTCCCTCCTCGATCATCGACCGTGAGTTTTCATTACATTCATCGGCCTTTGAATTCAATTTTACTTGTATATGCGTCATCATGTAAATTTATATGATCGTTTTAATTTTACAACTGCTCATCTTCGATTTAAATAACCTTAGTTGATTAACAAGGATAAGGCTGTGTAGGATAAACATTCATCCTCGTTGCTGGCTTGGGATTGCTCTCTTTTAGTTGATTAAAAAATTTGCAATTCGATGAAAAGGCTGCATATCATCTGAGTTTGGAATACAGAACATGTTTTGTGGAGTGCAGCAGTACTCAAATCAATTGAGTTCATATTTACTTATGAAGTCCGGAAAATTTTATTAAATGAATGTTATGGTCTGTTTGATGACCATTTTATTTTTTCGTTTTTAGTTTTCATTTTTGTGTTGGAGAGATGAGGAAAGTGAAACAACTTAGAACAAAATACGAAACGGTTATCAAATACTGATCGTTAAGGGTAATAGTTTCATTTCAAGTTTCAGTTATTGAGGACAGTTTCATAGTAATGCGCCCCAATTGACTGCAGCTGCTGATTGCATAGACAAGAAACCAGCTAATGAAGATTCACCTTCGAACCCACCTCGCGATGGTAGGTTTGCGACTTGCGATTCATTCACTCTTTAGCTGATTGCATGGATAAAAAATCGTGTGTTGTATATGATTGATGAATTTTAATACACATTGAAAATGACTCTTTAGTTGTTAGTTACTAGTACACCATAGCCTACAAGTTACAAGTAATATATGGCATGCTAACATTTACATGTCCAGGATTGAATTCGAATGTGAGGGCTTCGTCTGTCTCGGTGCCTTCAACTCCACAGATAGAGGGTGAGATCTTGCAGCCCTTCAACTTGAAGAGCTTCTGCATTGATGAACTGAAAACAGCCACAAGGAACTTCCGTATTAATGCAACAGTCAATGGAGTTCGTATGCGACGTGTCTTTAAGGGGTGGATTGATGAGAATTCGCTCACAGCTACCGTACCTGGTACCGGCATGGCCATTGCTCTATGTGTAGGGATGGGCAAATACTCATTGGATATGGGTGACTACGATTATCCTTCCGTAACCAATGAGTATTTGCCCATCCCTAGTGAGGATCCTCTTGACCAAGTCCATTAGACCGTTGAAATTTATCCAACGGCTACAATTATTATAACTTTTAGAGGGGTCCCTTGTTTGTAACTGTTAGATAAAATTTCAACAGCCCGATGGGCTTGGTCAAGAGGATCCTCATCCTTTTCTCAGGAGAGGATCTTGATCCATATGTTTTGAGATGGGTCTAATGTAAAAGAAACATTAACAAAATAAAAATAAATAAATAAAAAACTCAAAAAAAAAAATTGAATGGGGGGATTGGTAGAAAGATAGCGACTGTTAATATATTAGTCGCTATATTTTTAGCGATTATTCTTACAGAGAATAGCTAGCAAAGTACCGATCGTATCATTTTTTTTTCCATTGAATAGCTATAGTAGAGAAAAATAGTAATCACAATGCAAAATATCAACCTAACAATAAAAGTGCTGACACATAGAGTCCTATTCATGGACCTAAATAAAAAAATAACTAAAAATTGGACTAATCTAATTGTTAGGCCAAAAATTGGGAAATGAATCATTTTCGGATCTCTTCCACTAAATCCACCCAATCATCTAATTCAGACCCTTGAAATTTAATTCAACGGCTAAAATTATTATAACTTTTAAAAGGGCCCCCTGTTTGTAGTCGTTGGATCAAAATTTAAGGGCCTGGATCGATTGATTTAGTGAATTTGGTGGAAGAGGTCCAGAGAGGATCTCTTTCCATAAAATTAGACATATTTCAAGCTAGTTTATTTACATATAATAGATTTGTAAGGAAGAAGTTAATTTAAACCATATATTAATGAAACTCTTTTTCTCAACTATAAGATGGTGAAAAAACATTTTTGTCTTCTATCACAAAATAAAATTATGGACAATAAAGTAATTTGCACAAACTAAATTTTACAGTTGTTTTTAAAAGTATCATCTACATGTAATCCTAACAAATCACCTACAAGAACTCCGGATTTTTACGGATGTATTGTTTTATGAAACTTCGAATTTTTATAACACTTAATTTCAAAATTTCAAGTTCAAGTTTAAGTACGAACTCTAGGTTCATGATACATGCAAACAAACACAATATACATATGTAGTGAACGGGAATAGCTTCAGGATCTATTTGTGAAAAGAATGAGTGACGACCCAAAATATGGTGTTGTTGTGGCTTGCAAGCTCAAAAGAGTGGTTGTTGGGTTGCTGGGCAACAAATGAGAAGTAAATAGGTTAACAAATTATATACCCAATTATTGAGCTAAGAAGGAAAAGTGAAAAACAAGGCCTAACCCATGGGCTTGTTATTTCATGTGAGCCAAAAATAAAACAAGGCCCAAAAGAAAAAGAAAACAAGCGGGACAATTTGGTGCATATGCCCAATTGGGTTGCGGGTCGATAACAGGCAGCCCAGGTCTGTAAGAAAGGTGATGCAAAATGGCTTTATTTTGGACCTTAGAGTTTTGGAGCAGGAACGACTTGGTGGTTGGGGTAGCGCGGCTTCATGCTGCGGCTCTCATGCATGTAGGGTTTGAAAAATCCCATTTTTTTTCTTCTCTTATTCATGCATATTCAATTCATCAGAATTATAAGAGCAATAAATGTAAGCTGAATCTATAATTTGAAAGAAAAAAAAAACGTAAAATTAGAGTTCATGCTTCATGGTGAATGTTTCATGTAATCATTGCTGAAAAAATATCTAAATTGAAACCATGTTTTATAGATTACTTGGATTGCTTGATGAATATTGTGAACGACTTTGTAGTAAATAAGCATTTAGTTCCTTAGCTCAGTGTCATAAGCGTGTTTAATAATGCGTTATGACCTAAATTTAACTGAAGGAGAGAGAGGGGGTGCATCTGCATAAAGAGAAAAGATAGGCTTAAGAATTATTGTGATGATATTTCTCCGTACCTTGTGCCTTTTTTAAGAAAAATAATGGGGTTACTTGCCCTACAAGTAATACAAAGTTGTGCCTTTTTGTTTTTTTTTTTTTTTGTAATTAATTCTTGAATTGTTTCTAACTAACATTAGTAGTTGTTGAGACTATAAATACTCAAGTAATGATTTCTTTTGTGAAATTGGTGTGGATGCCCACATAAAGAAAACAACCACATATGGCTAATGGTGGAAAGTGGAAGAATAGAAGTCAAAATTATATTGCTTAAATAGTAGAAGTTTGGTTTTTATTATTTTGGTGTGTAAGCCTTTTACATGCATTAAAAGAGACGTATGTTTGTGTCGTATGAATAGTACAAAAAGATGAAAAGCATAAAGTAATAATCATGTTTTCCTCATGTGTTCCTCTCTACGTTCATTTCTCTTATTTGATACTAGTGAAGAAAATAAACAAAATAATATATGACTCTCGTTTCACTTTAATCTCTAACAACTCTAATAATATATATAGGTACGCATCATCTGATAATAACATGTTTCTAAATGCTCAAATCATCATCTTGAATTGGTTAAAGCTCTAAAAGACTCCAAAACAAAATTGTCGAACACTCTAATGCTTTAGCATATTCAATCACATATATTAAAAATTAGCATGTTCTATCAACTATATTTTTTCTCTCAAATGAGGCATAAATATATATATATATATATATATATATATATTATGTGGCCCTTTATAACCAAATATATCTCAGGATACTAAACCTAGTTAGAAACTAATTTTTTATTTTATTTTTTTAAGTTTTACATATATTAAAATAAACGGTTAAATGGGTACTCGTTTATAACCGCGGGTAATACCCATAACCGTCCATTTAAATTTCACGGATAAACGGTTACCCATAACCATAACCGTTAAATTTAAATGGATGGATAACCGCAGTTTCCTATAACCAATGCGTATTTGCCCATCCCTACCTACGGTGCCAAGCTTTATGATTTTTTTGTTGGCGAGGATCGATCAGCAAGTTATAGAAACCATGTTTCAACAGACGTCATGGCAACACATGGTTATGCAGCTCCTGAGCATATAGCCACAGGTATCTTTTGTTTAGTTAAGAGATTGTTCGTGTTCATACACAAAAACAACCCGAGTAATCAGTTGTTCTTCATTCGCTTTCTGAAGGTGATTGTACCGCGAAATGTGATGTGTATGGTTTCGGAGTTGTTCTGCTTGAAACGCTGACTGGCAGACGAGCTGTGGACAAGAACCGGCCATCTGAGGAACAAAATTTAGTCGAATGGGCGAGGCGTTACCTTGCCAGCAAACGTAAAGTTGTCCGAATTTTCGATGATCGTCTTGAAGGCCAGTACTCTGTGGGGGTAGCTCTTGGAGCAGCTAACCTTGCAAGCCAATGCTTATCAATAGAACCCAGGTGTAGGCCAAATATGGATGAAGTGGTAAAAGCACTGGAGAAACTTCAGGGTTAATCCTGTGACTTAGCTAAAAACATGGGGTTAAATTTTAAACCTTGCAATTTATTTATTTGTTAGCTGCGTGCTATTTTTTATTGCGAGAATTTCCATGATTTTAAAAAATATTTGCACATCAGGTGCAAAATGTACTCAAAAGGGTATAAATGATATTCGGAAAAGTTAGTAAACATACATCCTTAAAAACAAGCTAAGTCATCGTTATAAAATAGGAAAATTGCTTAGTTGGATCATAAGTCAATGAACCTAAATTGTTAAATGAAATCTCAAAATCTAATAATTAACTACATCACTGGTCTTATATCTAAATAACTATAACACGAGAATAACGTAAGTTTTATATAAAAACATTTCAAGAGCCTAATGAACAGTGATACCACCAATCTTGATTTGGGGGAGTAACGTCATACTGATCCTCCCCCTTTCAAAAAATTTGGCAGTTTTTTTCTTGCCATAACACCAAATTATCGTCTCTATATTCTAGAAGATGTATTTTATGGTGTAAAATCTCTTATAATCCCACAAAACGAAATAAAAGGAACAATTTATAGTATTTGAATACCCTATAAAATACCTCATCTTATAATTCGTGAAGAAGCATACTAAAACAAACTCGATAATTGAGAAGACAAATTTAATAATTAAGAACGAGTTTGAACTACATTATTACTTCTTATTGTGAGGTTAAATCCATTATTTTTCTTTAGCGTAGATAATATCGTTTATTCAAAATAATAATAATAATAAATAGTATATGCCCACATATAAAGTGTGTGAAATTTTATACTTTGGTTGTTTTAAATTGAAGGTGAGAGGAAGAGAGTGAGAGAGAAGTGGGAGTGAGGAGAGATGTTTTTTATTATCTTAAAAAAAAAAAAAAAAGATGATAAACTTACATGTAGGTGAGGTTTAAAAAAAAAAAAAAAATTGTTTTGTGAAATTACGTTAATATCCTTAACTTTTTTGTTGCAATAGAAGCAGTGTTTGAAATATCCTAAATATGCTCGATATTTCCATGGAAATATCCAAAAATTCAAGGAATAATATGGAAAGAGGGGATGAAATCTAAACTTCATCTCATATCCCCGATATTTTTGAAAATTAATCAAATTTCTCGATATTTTCGATATTTTAAGGAAATATCTAGGGTTTGCAGGAAATATGCATGAGCCTTTTGCATTGTTTTTTTTTTCTTCGGTTTTTTAAATTTCTTTCTTTATGGTATTAGTTTACTTCAATAAAACGTGTGCTGCTTTCGTGACGAAAATTTCAATTAAGATATGTATAATTTATTATTTCTAGTGAAATGCTTTACCTTATTACTTGTCACTATATTAAAGTTTTTCTTCTCACATATCACATACTTATTGTTTACACAGTATCTAATCATTAATTCTTGATTCATACGTGTGTTATAGCTTCATATAACATTCCCTAAAAAATAATTTCAAATTCCCATGTTTTTGAGCAAATTTCATCATTTCCATCGAAAGCAATCAATATTCGATATATCTACTGATATTTCCATAAATTTACCTTTCGATATTTTCATCGATACCGATATTTTAAACATTGGATAGAAGACAAAGATGTAGTTTTTGATTAAGTAGGAGAATATTCAGGACGTGTGCTAGCAGGAAGTGAAATTAAGGGCCCAAAAACTGGTCACAGAAACCCGGCCCAACGGCCCACCAAAAGTACGTCATCAGATGGACTGTCTGAAGACTCAACCGTAGACTCGGGGCTCTTAAAAATCAGGGTTTCGAAAATCTTTCCCTTCAGAAAATTCAGATCCACAAAAGTACACTTTCTTCGTAGCTCTCTCATCGTCCGTACGATTCACTGTGTTCAGAAACTCGCAGGTAAATCTCTTCTCTCGAATCTTCAAAGTCTTCATCCGATCAGAGAAATTGGCAAAACCCTGATTCCAATCGTTGCTTCTTCTTGCTATGTGATCGTGAAACCAATCAATTTGGGTACTTTTTGCAGTATTGGATATGAGGAGGTACAGCCCACAGTACTATAGTCCTCCGAGGAGGAGCTACGGCGGCGGCGGAGGAGGTGGGCGAGGAAGAAGCCCCCCAAGAAGGCGCAAGGAACAGAATAATGGAAGTCTTTTGGTCCGGAACATTCCTCTGGATTGCAGGTCCTGTGAAAGAAAAGTTTGAATTTTTGGTTTGATTTGTTTGCTGGTCTGTTTTCTGACATTTGGGGTTTTTTGTCTAATTTTGCAGAGCTGAAGAGCTGAGAGCTCCCTTTGAAAGATATGGGGAAGTTCGGGATGTCTACATTCCCAAGGACTACTATACTGGGTGAGCTTTAATTTTGTCAATGCGTGTTCGATGCATCGATAATGGTGTTGTAGGCTATAATCTTGAAAATGAACCTGAGCTTGCTATGTTTGACAAGTGAATGAGCACTATCCAGATTATATAAAAGCTTCAAATGGGTGAATTAGTTGGTTTGAGGTCGGCATCTATTTACACATCGTGCTTATAGTTCCTACGATTTGTTTGAGGTCAACAAGTGAAACTCGGTTGATAAGATTGCTATTTGAAATTTTATTTCTTTCAAATTTCGTACTTCCTACATGTTGGCATTCTTGGTTAGAATATACAAGCAGGGAATATATTACATGTGTGTGGAATTTCGTAAACTATTTTTTGAAATATTTATTTTCCTTTTTCATAGTGAATATTTGAACTGGTTTGTCAGGGGTGTTTTCGAAGTTAAAACAAGCCCAAGCCTCACATTTGATGAAGGCCTACTGTTTATCATTGCCTAACATAGTGGTATTCCAAGCGTGTTAGGAGTAATGTCAATGAAGAATGTTCTTTTTTATGAAGCGAAATTATATAATTACAACAATCAAATAGAAGTTTGGTGAGGACTACGTTGATTTCAAGTGCTTATAATCACAAGAATGTGAAGAATTTGTGGGCAACGTTGATTTCAAGTGCTTCTTAAAGAATGAGAAGAATTTCCAAGTTACTTGCATATTTTGAAGTTGCCTTTCATACTTGACTATAAAGAAAAGGTCAGCCACTAAGCTTCGAGTTTATCTGCTTTTCTTAAATTCAGCATCCACTTAAGTGGAAGTGCTCAAGAGCTGACGTAAGATATGTGTACAGAGTAATGGCACTGTGGTGGTAACTTACTATGCTAATTTTGAAAAGTCATTGCCCTCATACATTCTGTCTTTGCTCACTCTTAATCTCTGCTTCTTTGTACTGTACTAAGTTTTTTTTGAACTTCTATGTAGGGAACCTCGGGGATTTGCATTTATTCAGTTTGTGGATTCTTATGAGGCCGCAGAGGCTCAGTATCATATGAATGGGAAGATTTTTGCTGGGAGGGAGATATCTGTGGTTGTTGCTGCAGAGACTAGGAAAAGGCCGGAGGAGATGCGCCAAAGGACTAGGGTTAGGTAGTTTCTACTATTCTGACTCGCTCTCACTCTCTTGGTATCTTTCTTACTAACTTGACTCTGTAAGTTTGAAATACCATTTGCCTGTTTTGCTTTTTGCAGAGAGCCATCAGGCCATGGGGGAAGACGATCATCTTATTATGGTATGTTTCTTATGACAGTACAAGTTATACTCATTATGGCATGCTGTTTCTGACCACAATGAGGGATGGTCCTCAACATTATTGATCATGTTGGCTTCACTAAGTAATCAGAAATCTGCAGCCATATGATTGCCTTCCTATTCATTGCTGAAGTGAATAATCAAATTAGTTAAGAAATGGTTTGTTATATTTGTGATGCCATTTCTGCTAAACATAATCGCCATTCTGTATCTGATATGTCACAGGGCGTTCACGTTCTCGTTCTCGCTCTCCACGCTATCCATCAGGTTCTAGAAGTCGATACCGCTCAAGGTAAGCTTTGAAGGTGACAGATTTCCCTGATTTCACTATATATTATTTTTGGAAAGCCCGCTGATGCAGGTACATTGGCAAATAACTTTCTCAGGTCCTATTCTCCTGCACCAAGACAGCGAGGCGACTCTATTTCACCGAGAAGAAGGCACCGAGACAACCCAAGATCACCCCAAGATCTTCCATCACTGCGAGACGGTGATCATGATCGCAGACCATATTCTCCAGGTTATGACAATGGGGCTGGACCAATTGAAAACGCCGATGGGTATGACAAGTGAGTCTCCAATTGCTTCACTTTTCTAGCTTATACTGCAGGGTTCACATCATACATAATCTTTCGGACTATGCTGTCATTATAAAGTGGTTGATTTTTATTTAGTATGTATGTGAACGCAATGCCTGATCTTTTACGTTGATCATGTGTTCTTGTTTCGCTGTTGTAGGAAACCTATGCGTGAAGATAAGGACGGAAGAGATCACTGGAGGTCTCCTGATAGAGCATCAAGATCACCATCTGGATCTAGGTCCAGATCTGCTGAGTTATCACCTCCGCGCAACAGATAAGGAAAAAGGCCGCCATGTGAATGCACAAACATTCGTTCGATAACGTCTGGCAGATTTTTGAGTATTTCGGGTTTGTAATATCAGTTTATTGTGCCTGAGTTGTAGGCTTGTGTGCAAACATTTGGAACAATTAAAACCTTTGGTTTGGTTTCTTTGGACCGCTAAAGTTCTCTGGTTTTATTTAATGTGTCCTAAATTGAATCAAATAATAATAATTCGTACTGTGGTCAAAAATCTGCTGCTCAATTCATATCTTAAGTACGAAATTTCAAGGATGATAGATTAAAAATGCCAATGTGGGTTTTATAGAGAAGAGGATTTGTTCCAACACCGGTTGTATAGAATCATGTTCACGTTGGGAGAGGCACGTGAGGGTAGGATCGTTAAAAGGTCTATTAAGAGGGATATAGGCACATGGTTATATGACCGTCAATGGTAATGCGGGAGATCAAATTTGCAAATCAAATGGCGTGGTGGTTGATAATTGGATTATTACTTAAGTGTTGATTAACATGCTTATTTTTTACTGATAACATATCATCTGGTTTACAAATTTGATTTATAAATTTGGTCTCCAAGCATTACGCGATCGTCAAAGGGGCAGAGATCTGATTCTATATAAATAGTTTGGACTTTGGAGCAATGTTATTAGCAGCAATTTCAGTTGGTTGCTAACAAATTATGTCCCATAAGCAAATGCATCATGAACTAAACCCTATACCTACATATAAACAAGAGAAGCAAGAAGATACTAACATTACGATCTAGTAGTATACCTCTTTTTATTTAATTGTCGAGTGAGTCCAGGTCAAATAGTTCACCTGCTTTGGCAAATCCACTTGAGATTTGGAAATAGTTTTGAGTTAATAGGAAGACCTGGCCTTGGAACAACTCCACCCCACTAAGGCAATTACTGCTCGGGCTATTGATCTAATGCAATTACTGCCTTAGTGAAAACAACTATCCGAGTGCATCTTCGCCCCTAAAATTGAATGGCCTGGGCTATTCACATTAAAAAAAAATATATATATATATTAAAAAAAAAAATCATATTGTTTATTTTCAAATAGGACTTTTAACAACCCTATCAAGCCATGTGTGATTATTTCAAATTACAATCTCATCCCAGTCACGCTACGGTTCATACTCTTAATTTTATTTTTATTTTTGTAATTTTTATGTTTATTTACAATTTTCAAACATTGTTAATGACATAATTAATATGGACCGTTGGATGGCTTTTTCTTTCGCAATCCAAGTGTTCAGGTTGTGCCACGTGGAGAGGAAATCTTTTACAGATTCTTTTCTATTATTTGAATATTTAAAAACCATAATAAAAATGGACCGTCGGATTTGGAAAATCCAAAGGCGCATATTAAAAGACTACTGTAGTAGGGCCCACATCTGGATTTTTGTTGAACCACTAGCGGCCACACGCATTTGAAGCACATACGCTTTGGTGCAAAAGAAAATTATAACGTGGGTGACGTTAAATAACCTCAAGCGATGCCTCAAGTCATTTTCGCCCGATTGCTCAGAGCCTCAGCCAGTGGGTCTTGGGGGGAGTTGGGCCCACCCAATGGCATGTGCTGGAGCTAATTTTATTGGGGTAAGAGGATTTAATCACCTAATTACCAGGGGAGTTCTATGGGGTGGAGTTGCTCTTAAGTTGACCGCTCAAGAAGAACCAAGTGTCCTTTTGTTTGTATTATATATAGCTTGGAGTCCTTCGTTACAAACCATGTCAAAGCTCTCACCTTTAGTACAACAATATCATTCCAATAGGTGGAGCAATTGGCATGTGCTGGTGCAAATTTTTTTGGGGTAGGGGGATTCAATCACCCAATTGCAAGGGGAATTCTATGGGGTGCAGTTGCTTTTAGGTTGACCATCGTGGAAGAATCAAGTGCCCTTTTGTATGTATTATATATAACTTGGAATCCTTCGTTACAAACCATGTCAAAGCTCTCAGCTTTAGTACAAGAATTCCATTGAATCTGATATTCGCATATCTCAGGAGAGAGAGAGAGAGAGAGAGAGAGAGAGATGGCAGTTGGGTTATTGGAGGTGAATCTTGTGAGTGCGAAGGGCCTTGGAGAAACCCATTTATTCAGTATAATCTTCTCTCTTCTTTCTTTCTTTTGTATTTTTACAACATTTTGTTTAATTTATAGCTTGCTCAATGATTTATTCAGTTGTTTGAGCTTGTAACTAGTTGAAAGCATTCACGAACATGCGTTCTTTAAAATTTTTGTTTCTGTGTTTATTCATCTCCATGTCACTCTTGAAAAGTTCAAAACTTCAAACGATTTGGCCACAATATACTGCATATATTAGAAACTATAAAAATGTACTCGTTTTTATTACCAGCACAAGTGGTTTTTTTTCGTTTTTGCTACGTGACCTTCGCCTACTCGTACTCATCACCCAACCCACCAGCACCACTAGGCCAACCCCAGTGTCTTACCGAACCGGTTTTTTTTCTCCACTAGAGATTGTGCATCAACTTCTGCATGAAAAATTACCGCATCGTTGATGTTGTTGTTGTTGTTGTGAGCGTGGAATGATTGTATTTTTAAGACAAAGTATGATTTAGCAGGTCGTATGGATCCGTATGTTGTGATTGAATACAAAGGCCAAGAGAGAAAGAGCAGCGTCGCCAGAGGTAACTTCTAAAGTTTCTAATTCACCTCCACCTGCACCAAACACTTGAATGTAACCATATTCGTACTTCTGCTTTCTTGAGTTTTTGCACAAGCAAGGCAAGTCATTGCAAGAACAAATTCAAATATCATGTGGGGGTCACTCCGTAATGTATCTTAACGATCTAAATTGTCTAATTTTTAGGTCTTTCCTCAAAGATCATGTTTACCAAAACTCACTTAAATTCAAAACCATATAATCGTAGATTAAGAATTTAGGGTTTCTTTTTAGAATCGTATTTATCTATTTTCTTTACTGCAAATGAGTATCTTAATAGTTTTGAATTTGTCTAATTTTTTTCAAGGGTGATCTATAAATAATATTGTAAAAGATAAACGATTCAGAAAGTTAAAACACATTATGAAGTGGGCCTATAAAAACTTTTGTAAAAAATCATTTAAAAAAAAGTAATGTCACGCATCCGTCACTATATATATATATATATATATATTTATTCTATGAATTGTTGCGTAATGCATCGAATTAGTGTACTTTTTTCTAGCACAACTATAGGAGACTTTGAGAAATAAAGTGGTATTAGATGGAATTATCTACCCTGTACTGCAGGTATTTCTAGACCGGTGGGCGTACTAATATATTGATCAACGCTTTCTCCTTCCCTTTAAAATTGTAATTAATTAAAACAGCGTGAACAAGCTGCCTTCCAGAAGCTGAAGTACTCAACATCTCATGGTCTGCAAGTAAACACTTAATTAATCAATTACATCAAATGATCACGGCACCGGCACGAAAGCCCTGCTTGTAATATTAAAACAGTCGCACTGTAATTCTTCATCATTGTGGCAACTTCAACTTTTGTGTTGTTCTGTGTTGTGTTGTGTTGCGTAACTAAAAAAAAAAAGCAGATGGACTGATTTGAAACGATAATGCAGAACAAGGAAGCAGTCCGGAGTGGAACGAGAAATTTACGTTCAGGGCAGAATATCCAGGTTCAGGGGGAGAGTATAAGATCACTCTCAAGATCATGGACAAAGACACCTTCACTTCTGATGACTTTATCGGCCAAGCGACGTAAGTCACAACATTGTTATTTCACATACAATTTTGATGTAGAGCTCAGCCTAAACACAAGAAACTTTTTAGTCACGTGATGCTACTAATCCACTTTTTAATGGACGGATGAAATGTGACACAAAGACCTATCAATCACCGAAAATAGATATGTCCTTATTTAGTCACGACTGATGTATGGAAGATCAAATTTGGTCTTAATTTGCAGAATATACGTGAAAGACTTGTTGGCACTGGGAGTGCAGAATGGAACTGCCGAACAACATCCTCTTTACTATAGCGTTGTTCGCGCTAATAATACTTATCATGGGGAGATCAAAGTCGGCCTAACTTTCACTCCGCAAGTAACTTTTTTCTCGCTTCATTTTTTTCCTTAAAAGTTTAGCGAACATTTTCAGCAATGACCATTCTTGTTTGACTGATGTGGGTGTGGTTTTTTTTGGTCTGCATTTTATAGGTAGAACAGGATGACGGGGAACAATCGTTTGGAGGATGGAAGAACAGTGCTGCATATCCATAGAGAAACAATACGTCTGCAGATGGGGTTGCACTGCAGAGTAGGGTTTGAGTTTGAGTCCGGGTCCACACTCGAACTGTGGGACCCATGCTGACCGTAATCTCTCAAATTCTTGGTTTTAGGTTTCAAAGCAAATTCCGTAATGATTTTATCTTCTTGCACATCTATGCTTCCGACTCTGTAAAATTATGTATACGAGTTTTTTTTCCTTACTATCGATTGTATAAATAAAAATATTTCGCCCTTTTATTCAGAGTAAGAAATTACTTGTTTGGTTTATTTTGTGATTAGTCTCAACTCCCAACTGTCCCACTCTCACAGATTTTCAAAGGTCCCTAATAACTCATGGGAGAGATTAACAACGGAATCAAAAAACTTAATTATTCAAATCCAATCATCCGCCGTCTTAGCTCAGCTGGTAGAGCGCATGGCTTTTAACCATGTGGTCGTGGGTTCGATTCCCACAGACGGCGTTCTAAATTATATAATTATATTCTCTGTATTTTTTTTTTCTTTTTTTTCTGTTTACTTTTTCAAATTTGGTGTCTTATTTTTCTTTGTTTTTTTGTTTACTTTTTCAAATTTGGTGTCTTATTTTTCTGTTCATGGACTTCACGTCCCCACCGTCCTCTTCCTGCCGTTGAAATTAAATAGAAATTCAACTCGTAGAAAAAAGAGATCATGGGATTGCCATGCACTTCACTAACACCAACAATAATGATAACAATTCCAACTGTATACAATCACATATTTACGTCCTTCAAAGATTCTTCCAACACACCAACTAGCTTTCTATTTAGTGATATTTATCTTCATTTGAAATTTGAATAGAATAAGTCTCTTTTTTAACTCGCGTAAATTAATGATGATTACAATATATATTTGTGATGAGTTTGATACCTAGTTATCCGAAAGATTCTTTCACCGCACATTCTCCATTCTCTCATGCATTTCAATCTCCCAATTTTTCCCTCGTCTCTTTCCTTCCCTCCCAATCTTCTCAAATCTCATCCTCCTCCTCTTGTCTAATACCTACCCTTAATGGCAACCACGAAGTCACGTCACTCTCCCTTTGTTTAGGCACCTCTCCCTGCCTCAACAACTTCCATTATTGCTGCAGCCCTCATATTCTTGCTTCCAAACTGTTAGCTGGTGGTGATCTTTGCCTCTCCAAATAATGAAATTCGAAGACTTTCTAATGCAGCGAAGCGAGGAGAAGCAGAAAAGACTCGATCTTGAGGAAGAGGTGATGATTGTTATAAGTTTTTCGCTTGTTTCCAGCGTAGAATTTTGTGTAACATGTTAAAAAAATTTCACATAAGCTTGACACAGAGTCAAATTCCTGTATTTATACAGGTTAAGAAATTGCAGGCAGAGTTGGATGGAGAACAAACACTTGGCAGGTTTCTGCATTGTGCACTTCATGGACCTGTTCAGTCACATCCATGTCTTTTATCGTTGTTTCCACCTCAGGTATCGTTGTGTTAGTATAACGAGAGACTTTCTGTTGACAGAATGTGAATCTATACCGGTTTGGTCACATTGATTCTTTCATGAAAATGCGGTCTAGATTTGCAGTATGACGATATAAGCATTTATAGAGAAGGGACACAACCTCGATGTTGTTGAAATAATATCGGTAAGTTTTGTTTGCTACAATGATATCAACACATTTTTGTATGGCAGTTTCAGGAGCTGTTTTTGGAGCTGGCAATGGTGGAGGAAGAGATAGGTCAACTCGAAAGAAAAGTCGAAGAGCTGAAACTGAGGTTGTACCAAGAGAGGGAACAAACAAGAGAATGGGAAGTGCAGCGGAAGCAATTAGGGCAACAGAATCACTTGTTGTGCAGGGTGGGAAGCCAGTCAGTGGTGAATGAAGAGAGATGCAGATCACAGAACTACGAAGCTTTGAGAAATTTGAGAAAAGAAAGAAGGTTGAAGGATAGAAGAGCTTCTGTAGGTTCTGCAGCAGATCTCCCAAGATGGAATTTCACATATGCTGATGGTAAACTGCTTGTTATTACCAAAGGTGTCAATGCTATTAGTAATTGAACCACTCAACGTACGATGTATTTTATTTTGAAAGATTTCCGATGTGAGATTGTATACTCTTCAATGAATCTGACTGGAATTGGATTGTTCCAATAGTCTAATTTCAGTAGATGCCAATCCCGTCAAGATGTATGCAGGACGTCTGTTCTTTATCAAAGGACGGAAGTATCATGGAAATCTTACTTATTATCATATTTACTCAACTCCGATTTAATCTCGTTTATTGATAGGGTTGATTAAAATGTTGATCAAATCATCGCGATTTTACACCCTAAAAGACTAAAACAATCAACCCATGTCAATAAACGGGATCGAAATTTAAGATTACTACGTAGAAATGACTGTTTCTCGACGTATCCGTTCGTTACAAATAAATAACTCTTCTTTATGTGTGTTTGAACAGGTGAAACTGCTGAATTATCAAGGAGACAAAGGGGAAGAAGCAGAAACCAGGGCCATGGAGAAAATGATCTGAAACCAAATGAACTCTCAGAAGAACTTCTCAAGTGCCTTGTATCCATATTTCTTGAACTGAAACAAGCATCACTCGACAAAGAGGGATCATCTGTTGTCCCAAAGCTTGCACTTTCCTGCATGAACTCTAAGGGCCTCATTCCGAAGACCTCATTCAACTGCACATCATCCACAATTTTCTTCAACGACAACACCTCGTCCAATGCAGACCCTTACTGCATATTGCCGGACTTAGACGGTGCTGTCAGGGACATTGGCCCGTACAAAAACTTCATCCAGATCACGAGGAGCTCATTCGATGTCAGCCGATTGTCTGAGTGTTTGAATGCAATCGAAAAGTTGAGGTAATTACTTGCTTGGCCTACAAGCATTGTCAAAACTGGAAAGTATTGTTTTGATAACCTCTTTTTTTGTGAATTCAGGAATTTGACGCATCAACTGTGTGATGCGGACTTGACTTTCTTGACCTACAAGCAAAAGTTGGCGTTCTGGATCAACATCTACAATGCCTGCATCATGCATGTACTGTAAGAGATCTTAAGCAATGTTTAGTAAAAAACCGAAAAATCCGAGAATGATATGTAATCGGAGCTTCTATTTCTTGTCAAATTTCAGGCATTTCTGGAACATGGGCTGCCGTCCACACCGGAGAAACTGCTGGCACTTATGAACAAGGTACACCAATTCTGGCATTCGTAGAAAAAATCGTAAAACATTCAGTTGGGAGTGCAGACAGCTAAAAAATGAGGTTAGATTTACAGCTTTCATATAATACTGAGACTAAATGATCCCGTTTTCACCTAGGTTGCTCTAAATGTCGGAGGCATAGTGCTGAATGCTCTGGCTATCGAGCATTTCATTCTCCGCCATCCATCTGAATCGAAACATGTACGTGAAACAGAATCAATACTTGAGCTCCAACTGCACCCTCTTTTTTTTCATATGTTTTTTTCCTGACCAATTTGCACCTCACTCGGTAGGGGCCTGCCTATGAGAAGGAAATGCTACTAAGAAATGCGTATGGTCTCGGATACCCTGAACCTAATGTCACATTTGCTCTTTGCCGCGGCAGTTGGTCCTCACCAGCAGTAAGTAGTGCCTAGCTCTCCCCTACTCGCAACATTTTTCTCCGTAAATTTGATGAAATTAAGCTCTGCTGTGCATGCAGTTGAGGGTTTATACCTCCGATGACATAGTCAATGAGTTGGAGAGAGCAAAACTGGAGTACTTGGAAGCTTCGGTGGGAGTCACAAGCAAGAAGAAGATTGTGGTGCCCAAGCTTCTTCAATGGAACATGCTCGATTTTGCAGACGGTATGGAATCATTGCTGGAATGGATTTACAGCCAACTACCGCGGTCTGGTTCACTGAAACGATTGATAATGGAGTGCTTGAATGGAGAAACAAAGTCTCCGATAATCAGAATGGTGGAAGTCCAACCTTATGATTCCGAGTTCCGGTACCTGTTGCCGTTGTGAGCCAAAATAACAAGAGTTGCAGAAAGGCATAGCGTAGCTTTAACGTCATCGGTTAATCGAAATGTAACTAGCTCCGGCGAAAGATTAATCACTGTGCAAAGAAATTAATTGTGATTAGCCAATAACTTATTGTACACTCTCTTCAATCATTCCACTGGAAATGTGTACTTCATATGGATTTAAATTACATAAAATTTCATGTCCCATAAATTACAAAAAGTACAGACTGAAAATCAAGAACAAACACTTTCCGAGCGAAAGAAAATGAACTCGAGACAATTCTGTGAATGAGTATAATACCGAGCTTTTGCCCGCTGTACAGAAAATACATTAAACATCCGGATAGCCAGAAGAGTTGGCAGTACACGGCGGGTTTTCTATGTTCTCTCCAAAACTCAATTACTTGTTTCCAATGTCCTGCCGAACTACACGTGGGGATGGGAGGGCTCAACAGAGAAATTTACGATCCTGTTCAGAAGATTCAACCCAAACACAGTTTCTTCACAGTTTACTTTAACTGACATTTCCAATGGTTCGGAACATCTACCTTCAACAGTAATGGTTATCAAGCAGGGGGCAGAGGTGCTTAAAATCTTGCTGCTGAACCGTAAGCTCAAACCTGTTGCATCATCAAGCTTTGCTGCAACTGGCAAATCAACGGATACAAGATAAAGATTTGCATTGCTGAGCATCTTCAATGCAAGACTTCGGCAGATTACGAGAAATTTGTCTTCTACCAATGAATTATCACCCTTGTCCTTGTCCAACTCCTTCATGTGGTCAGTGAAGGTGCACCTGTTGAAGAAAACACAACATTATAGAATAACAAAGACCGAATGAGAAGGGGTTTTTTGGAAACTATTATCAATAAGTGAGACATTTGCCTATACGACAATAGGAAAAAAAAGTCAGTTTACCTTCTTACGCATTCAAACATTCCACGCAGTTGAGACTCCTTATTTGTAAAGGCTTCAACATCCATAGGAAGAGCTTTTACAAAGTATCCAATGTCAGGGCGCAACTTAATAGGATGCCTCTTGCCGTTACAATATATGGCCAGTTTTAGAGGCAAGAGGTGGTGATGGAAGCGGACCTGGATGCTTCTTGTCATTGTCTGACCAGGTTCCAGAGATGTGATCTCTTCTACAGAAACTAGATTTGGCTCATTACTTTGAGGTATCGTGGAGCTGCGGTATCAAGATAATCGTAACAAAAGATTAGGCCCTTACAAGAGAAATAAACATTCTTAATACATGATCCAAGAAAAAAACAAATGCATTTTATCAAATCATCCTGCTCGATTATGAATAGTGGAACCCCCGGGCATAGCACGGACCAGTCTGGAGACTATAAAAATCCACTAAAGCCTAACCGAACTACTCCATTACATCTCACTTAGGATATCAATAATAACTTAATATGCAAAAACCAAACATTAAGAATAGTAAGATATAATGATAGTAGACCTTAAAGAAATCTCCAGAAATGCTTTTGCGCGCAAATTTATTTGACAAATCCACCATAAAAACAACTTATTTGGCCTACTAACCTCAACCTAAAGTATAACACATGGGTTTTAACAAAGTAATAATTATCCAGTTCTATAACCAAAAATGGTCGAGTCCCTAACCAAAAGATAGCCAATTTATGTATCTCAGGCATGATATATCAAGTATTTATATTTTGGAATGTGAGTTAAATTACCAGACATGTACAGTTAAATTACCTTTCATCTGAAAACGACGATTGCTCTACAGAATCCTTGCCTTTTCCAGATTCCTCATCCACCAAAGTTATATCAGACATTGTCTCCTTTGAGCAGTTCTTGAAGGAAACTTCTATACATATAAACAGAGGAGAGATACTTGAAATCTCAGATGAAAATGAATAGTCAACCTTTAAGCCATTTCCGTTCACAGGGTCCAAGAGTGGATAGCTTTTAGGTCTAACTTGACCTCCAATATCACCGATGGAGATTCTTGCTGAAGATGTACGGACTTGACTGTGTTCTGAAGTATTTGGTTTTGAAAAACCAGGTTGGTCATCTAACCATGATTCTAAAGCTCTATTTGACAACAATTCCCCAAAATCAGAAGCAGACTGAGAAGCTCCATTTTTCCTTTCATCTGAAAACTGAATCAACTGATGAGAATTGTCATCGTCTTCACTTGCAGAACCAGCCTCTTCACTGCCATCAGTCCCACTTGAATCCACATTAGAATGTTGCGAACTATAACTAGAAGCAATTTCCTCATCCAAAGATTCAGACGCTGAGTCCTCATCGTCTGTAACATGTGGATCACCGTTTTCATCCATTTCGGGGTCATCACAGCGCAAACTACAGGGCTTTGGGAGAGGCTCATACCCTGGAGCAGCATGAAGTACTATCTGCGATAAAGATCCAGGAAGGTAAAACCGGTGATCAATGGGCTCATGCGACACTGATTTATTTTGTTTCCCAAACAAGTTTTCTGCCAGGAGACGTGAACTATCTTTATGTTGGCCCGGATGGTTGGTTTCCTCCTCCAAACATTGAGAATCTAAATAAGTTGACAGAAGTTTCTTTAAGAAATGAGCTCGGTCACGAACGTCATAATTTAAGTCGCATTTGGCCAGCTCCAACACGTAGATTAAAACCATTTTGATTGTCAACAAGTCATTCCCTTTTGCCCCCAATAAAACCTGCAGAACAGATCACCTCAACATTTAGAAACAAACATAGTCACATTTACCACATTTACTTAGAGAAGACCACCATGCAGTAGTACCTTAACAGCGGTATTACAAATCTGAAGCTTTGTTTCCACTTCTTCAGAAGCAAAGCACCCTGCAAGATACTTGAGCACTGTAGCTAACATCCTTGGGATGAGATCACCTAAAGAGTTATACTCCCCCACCATCCAAACAACCATAGCACGCGCAGCAGGCACCTTTATTGAAGTTAAACTTCGAACCAATTGAATAATAACCTTGAAAAGGCATAAAAGTCACTTAATAAATGCCCCAAAAAACAGAGAGAAGAAAGACAAGGTAACAAAGCATCACAAACGACACTAGTAAATAACCTCTACATCCCTGACTACATATCTAATGACAGCAACTCAGCAGAAAATTGAAAATACCTTTTCATGACTGGGAGGGTCTAGCTGAATGATTGATTTAATAGACATTATTGCTTGAATCAATATATCTGCTTCAGTATCCACTGACCCAAACTCACCAGTCATAAGTTCTGCAAAATTAGATAATAATTCAGAAATCAAGAAGCAAAACTTTCTGAAGATCAATACAACAGGTAGATAGTCACAAACGCTGTCTGGTCAAAGCCAATAGAAATTCCAAGCATGCATTTGCCATTTCTGGAAGTCGTTGTGCACATATGCCAATTCCAGCAACAGTATCAGCAGCAAATCTCCTGTCCGGATCTCTAATATAATCCTAGCAACAAACAAAAACAATATGCAAAGCATACACACCTTTCATTTTATAAATTGTGACACACATACAAGTTTGAAATTCTCAAATGAAGTTGTTGATGCATAACTAAGTCTAAAACCCTACTAGGTAACTAATAAATCAAGCAAACATGCACTTGGAATTATGAACAATCTAGCAGACATGAGTATCTGTTGTAAGAGGAAAGGTAAAATTTAATTTCAAAGGAAAAACAATTACCTGAAATTCTTTGAGTATAAATGAAATTGATGAATCTGTAGCGATGTAAGCCAGTATATCCAGTTTCAAAGCTTTGATTTGATATGAATCCGAAGAGCATATAAAGAAGTCTTCAAAGTATCGAGAGAAGAGTGAAGGAATTGCTTTGGCAAATACTTGAATGTTACATAAAACCTGCAATGGTCAATCAATAAAACAATCCTCACCATCTTACCAACTGTAAGTTAAGAAAAGAAAGTTCAAAGAGGACAAAAGAAATGTTTATGAAATATTTCAAAAATATATGAATTCACGGTCACGTGCATGCATCAATAAACTTAAAAAAAGTACTTCAATGCTACATACAAACTAATTAACTGTAAGGAAATGTTAACTACCACATATTTTGAGGCATTGGATGATCTTAGAACGAACAAGAGCGGCTTAATGATTCTTTTCAAATCCTCTGTTGGCGCCATAATCCAATGTACACCAGCAGCTGCTAGTACAACTGCACTATTATTACTCCACAACAATGGCGATGTACATTGCAGCAGGATCTTCACATCATCATTATTCTTTCCGGATGTAAAACGAGCATAATTAAATTCAGAGGAATCCTTATTCATGAAACTTAATCGCGATAAGTATTCAGCTGGTCCTTCAATATAACAACGGGATACAGCATTTGTTAATTCAGACTCATAAAGACCATTACTGTCACCATTGTCATCCAATGCAGAGTTGGTGTCCGAGCAATCCTTTTCAGATCGAGAATTCTCTGTTCCATGCAAAGAGAACATAATGGATTCCTTTACAAGCCCATGCCTTGCAACTACATAGCGCAAAAGGATCCCAATTAAAACTATTTTACCCCATTCTTCCACATCAGGAAGAACCTCGCATAACCTTTTATAGTTCCTCCCAATCAGTGACAAATTATTCGGACAAACAGAAGAGAAAGCAGCAGCAGCAGCTCCAACGACACAAGGGGAAGAGTCATTCAACAATATTCCAATAATCTGCATAGGGAAGACCATTATATGAATATTAATGACACTACACGCTATAGCTACAGTTTCGGTTGTTATAATGATATAAGATAGACATATATACAAATATGACAATGCAGCTAGTACAATACAATGTACAAAATACAAAGGCTGTGATTACTGGGACACGAGCATCGCAAACTTCAAGACATGAAATGAATTTTCATACATATGATTTCAGAACCATATCTGATGAAATATCAACGGGACCAACAAATGGACTTTTTATAGCTTATATAAAAGAACAGACAGCAGATCATATGATTGAATCAAATGAACATCAACATCTTCTTAATGATAAGAACTACAAATACAACATCGAAATCAAACCTCTTCAATCCCCACAGTATTATCCTCAAGGCGCAAATCGTGCAGCTTAGGAAGAGCATTGGCTGCGCATTTCCTAACATATACAGACGGATCTCTAGCACATTTTCCGGCGGCAACAAGAACCAAAGGTGCAATAACATGTAGGCGAATCCCCGCCATGGTTCTCAGCGCCCACGCCCTCACTAACGGATTTGGATCCCCTAAATCCTTCTGGAAATAATTAATCGACAGCAACGCTTCATTCGGACGCCTAAATTAAAGTAAACATGAAAAAAATTAAAACAAAAGCAAAAAAAAAAAAAAAGGCTCAAAATTTGGGTAAACGATTCAGTCGAAATCAAAAGGTTGAATTTAGCTTACTTTTGAGCATAATGCAGCAAGTACAAGTAAACGAGCTTCTTCACTTCCAATGACTGCGACGCTACGTTCTTCACAACCTGCGATTCCAATTCAACCAAATCGAATTTCAAATTACAAAATTGATGGCTACGATCATTCAATTTTTATCTTTTTTTTTTTCGGATTCGAATTCGAGAGTGATGAAGTTGGATAGGTACCTGAGGGAAGAAACTGGAGACTTCGAATCCCTGGGCGATGAGAGCGAGTAAACGCTTGAGAGCCTCGCACTTCTCGGAGTCGAACCTGCTGTCCAGGAGAGGAGCGATGCTGACGTCGTCGGGATCGTCGTAGAGGTGGGCGTCGGTGCCGATCCGGAACACCAGTGTCGACGCCTTGCTTAGAGTCTCCGCCGTTGCTCCGAACTGATTGAACATCTTCCGCCACGGTTTTCTGGTGCTCCTGGAAGCTCACTCGTCTCTGTGTGTGTCTGAGTTTGCGAGATAGACAGGAGCGCTGATGCGAGGGCTACCTGGCAAACGGGTCGGATCTGGCGCGTTAAATTTTATTAGCGGGTTGATGCGCGCCTAACCGACCCGCTAAAACAGTAAATATTAAGTGTTACCATGCCTAATTAACATGTTATATTTTCTCCCGACCAAAAAACATGTTATATTTTCTCACTCATTTTATATTTGATTTCTCGTTCCATAAAATACATAAAGAAAATAAAATAAATAAGCGAACATAATGTTGTTTTGCTGGTTGTACATGATATATACAAGCGATGAAAAATATTTTATATTATACACCTTGTATTTGAATAAATGCTAATGCAATTATATTCTTTAACGATTAAAACAGGTGATATGGTGATTGATATGAAACGACATGTTATTTAGACGAGTGACTATCAGATCCATTGCTACTATCACGACCCGATTAGCCACAACTTGAACATTGAATTTTTCATGTGAATTCATATTGTGTTAACAAATCATGTACAGTTTTTTCAAATATAGTGCAAGGTGGATTTCGATCGTAAAGCATCACCCAAGAGTAGAACCATAGATAGCAATGAGGTGTTTAGATGCCCTTGGCACACTGGTTTTGAAATTTATTGTGTATTTCTTAATAATTTATTTATTCCCAAATTTGTTGATTTGACGCATATTTTCTTCCAAACTTGTAGGTTATATTCAATTAACAACTCATTTTTGACAATTCCTTAAAAATAATACTTTATTTGTTGGACAAACGCATCATACTTATCTATCTATTAATATATCTTCAATAAGATATGCAATAACTTATGTATATGGCATATTTGCACGCAATCACCCATAACGTACCTGTTTCAAAACACTAAAATTTGAGAATGTAAAAGTCACATCTCATGAGTCGATGTAGAAAAAAAAATAGAACAAATATTTATAACCAGACGATACATTCACAAGCGCATGGATCCATAAATTGATTAAAGTGATGCATGTGAAACACAATTGAAGATACTAAACGCATGAGTCACTCATGATTTACTTGCACATGCTTGACAAAATTGGAAAACAACAAACCCACAACACAGATAACTAGGGGTGGTTCGGTATGGGATACCATACCGAAACTAGTATCCCGAATCCCAAACCGAAATTTTTCGGGACGGGAATTTGAAGACCAATCCCAAACCAAATTTTCGGGAATCCCAAATTTCGGGAATCCCGAAATATTTTCGGGATTTTGGGACAAATCGGGAATCCCAAATTGAAATATGAAATTATGAATTGTTCTTCAAATATATAATTCAAGAACACATTTATGAACTAGGAATTTCATTTCATTCACACTACCATTTAATTGAACATTGGCATGCTTGACTTTTTTTATCATAGTCAAAATTGAAATTAATTAAACTCTTTTTGCAATCTGTTGAGAGACAAAAGAATCAAGCCTTCTGAAATCATCAGCCATGGCAGCAGCAATAATAAAATCCACATGAATATCAAACAGAACATGAAAAATATGCAAGGTGTAGGGCATTCTAGGTTGCTAAGCATGAATTAGAAACTACTAGCATCAATTATAAAAGAATAATATATATGTATAAATATATATAATAATTAATATTATATATTTTCGGTTTGGTATGGGATTCCCGAAATATCGAGAAGCCAATCCCGAATCCCATACCGAAATTTTGGGATTGGTTCGGGAATTTCGGTTTGGGAAATTTTTGGTTTGGGATTGGGATTTTTTTGGTTCGGTTCGGGATTTTCGGGAATTTTTTCCACCCCTACAGATAACGTATCTTTTTTATTATAACACTCGCTCTGTAGTCCACCGTGAAAAATGAATGATCTGAACTCTTTTTTAATCCAACAATCACCTTTGTTCCAAATTAAAATCAAACGCATCATAATCATATAGATACAAATAGTGAGTAAATCAACTTAGAAGAAAACTATTTACTTCAATCGAACAAGAAAATGGGAATGTAAAAGAGGTTTTGCATCCCTTTTCGAAATGCTATATATAAAGGTTTGATAGGTTAGGATTGTGACGTCTCCAATTTCATACATTTGTCGCCCTCTCGATTTTGTCCCTTGTCGCGGACAGCACAGTGCTCCAATTACCAATTTCCTCTTTCGCTTTTGTGGCCTCCGCTGAGCACTGAACTGCTTCGACTCACTCAGAGCCCTGCCCCCAATTCTTCTTCCCCCACAAACCCTAATTTTGGAGCTCAGGAGCTCCGATTTCCGCAGGTCAATCTCTCTCTCTCTCTCTCTCTCTCTCTCTCTCTACAATTTAGCTGATCGCTGTTGGGTTTGCTTGTTCCGTTACATGCATGTGCTTGTTTGGTTGAAATGTTGAATTTACAGCATGCATTGTGAATTTTGGGCTTTTGAGTTGTTTGGGTTCGAGTTTTGCAGCTTGAGCTTCCGTTTTGCTTTGTGTTTTCTCCGATCTGCGGCATCTGCTTGTATAATTTGTGTGTGTGTGTTTGTTTAATCGCAGGAATAACATTAGGACACTATTTATGTATGGTTTTCATTTATTTTTTTGGCGATTTTTCTTTCGGAATTTTGATGATTTTTCAGGGTTGTGTGAATTTTGTTACAATGCGGTTTCATATGGCAAGATGTTTCTTTTAAGGCAAAGATAGATTTTTATTTTGGAAATTGTCTTATGAGTGATTTTGCAGTAGAGAATTAAAGGAATGATTCAGAGACCGAACCCGAATTCTATATAAAGCGGTTTCACTGCTGTACAAGGACTAAACTTGTGTGACCCTAAGCCTTGATTTGTGTGATTTCTTTATGTATCCTGAATGTTGGTGTAGCTTGGATTATGCTTGTCCCTTCTTTTTCTGGCTTCACCTTGCTTTTAATTTTGAATCCCTTTTCGGTGTTTAAGGGAGTAACAAATTTACCCATAAGCTTTTCTTTTCTTGAACTCTTTTGGGGACGTTTATGTTGGGTTTTGTGGTGCAAATAGTGTCAAGTTCGAAAGAAATTAGATTAACAGTATTGATCCGTACTAGACACTTCAAACTCAACGGCGGCAACTAAACACTTATATTTACCTTTTTGACTTTAACCTGCCGTTGCACATGTTCTACTTCCCACAAAATGAACCATTAAAAACCATCGAATTCTCACAATTTTGACTAGTGACATTGATATTTAATATTTTGTTTTCATGGTTTAGTGCTCTTTAAACAAAGTTCAAATGGGGAGTGTGGCGGATCATAGCTCTGAAGATGATACCGATATGAGCGAAACAGAACTGGATGAGGATGTAGAAGAATATTATGAAGAGCTGAAGAATGGAAAACACAGTGTGAGAAACTCAGATGGGACATATACTTGCCCTTTCTGCCCGAATAAGAAAAAGCGGGGTTTTGTTCGCAAGGACCTTCTCCAACATGCTTCTGGGGTGGGAAAGAGTACTTCAGAAAAGAGAAGCACAGAAGAAAAGGCCAAACACTTAGCTGTGGTGAAATATTTGGAAAATGATCTAGCAGCTGAAGGTGGCCCATCTAAACCTGTGGGTGAGGAAAAACCCCCAATTGATTGTGACCAGGATGAAAAGTTAGTGTGGCCTTGGACAGGGGTAGTGGTTAATATTCCGACCAGACGGGCCAATGATGGGCGGTATGTTGGAGAAAGTGGATCGAAACTGAGAGATGAGCTAATAAGGAGAGGGTTCAATCCCTTAAGGGTGCACCCTTTATGGAATTTTCGGGGTCACTCGGGAAGTGCGATCGTGGAGTTTAGGAAAGATTGGCCTGGCTATGTTAATGCCATGTCATTTGAGAAGGCTTATGATGTAGACCATCATGGAAAAAAGGACTGGGAGACTAACAGTGACCAAAAATCTGGACTTTATGCTTGGGTTGCTCGTTCAGATGACTATAAAGCTTCCAATATTGTTGGAGAACACCTCCGCAAGATTGGAGACCTTAAATCAATTTCTGAAATTACGGAGGAAGAAGCCAGGAAGCAGGATAGACTAGTAACTAATCTTAACAACATCATTGAGGTCAAGTACAAAGACTTGGAAGAGATGGAGCTGAAATGTAGTGAAACTACAAACTCCATTAAGAGCGTAATCACAGAGAAAGAAAAGATCATTCAGACTTATAATGAAGGTAAGATTTTGCTTTATTTATTAAAAAAAATGGAAGAGTGCTATTTATCATATAGAATGAAGTTGTACAGTGTACAGTGTCCGCATGATTTGGATAAAGTGGCTTGGTTTTCACCATTTTGGGTTTATTATAATTCATTATCATTTTATACTGGTATGAGGCTGTAGCAACATTAATTCCTGACATGCATTTTTATTGTTTTGATAGAGATTAAAAAGATACAAACAAGCGCTCGGGATCACTTTCAGAGGATATTTGGCGACCATGAAAAGCTTAAGTTGCAACTCGAAACTCAAAAGAAAGAGCTAGAGTCCCGCATAGAAGAAATGGAGAAGCGTGCAGTTGCCAACGAAGATGAAAGTAGGAAGCTTGCTGAGGAGATTGAAAAGGTTTACTAGTTTAATATCTGCACCATTGTTGCACATTCTCTCTTAGATTTCATGATTAAATTCTTGCGAACGTATATAAATCATGAATATTGAAAGGATGGAAACTAGTTTGTTGAAAGTTACTGAAAATTAGCATGATATTCAAGTGTCATCAAATTGTATCATGAATATTTTGGGCCTTGAAGCATTTGTGTTTAATTTATTTATATTGTGTGATGTTTTTGTCTTGGTTACTTTTAGATTGCAGAATGAGTTGCATTTAATTTGTAGTCATTGTTGTTGGAGCCTTGAAGGATGGTTCCGAACATTTGATAACAGTGATGTTGTTGTTCGTGTAGAATTCCATAAAAAATAGTTCTCTTCACTTGGCTTCTATGGAGCAACTGAAGGCTAATGCAAATTTATTGAAACTGGCTGAAGATCAGAAGGTTTGTTGGCTATTTTTAAGTGCTTAAAAATGATCTGAACATTATATATTGATTTCAGAGAAGATCTTTGATGTATATGACAACCATTTTGATCCAGAGGCAAAAGGAACAGCTCCACAATAAAATAATTAAACTGCAACAGCAACTGGATACAAAGCAAACTCTTGAATTGGAAATTGAGCAACTAAGAGGGAACTTAAATGTTGTAAGGCGCATGGGGGATGACGGTGATGTTGAAGTGCTGAAAAAGGTGGACAACATGATCAAAGGCTTGAGAGAAAAGGAAGAATCACTAGAAGACTTAGAAGCTTTAAATCAAACTTTGATCGTAAAGGAGCGCAAAAGCAATGATGAGCTGCAGGAAGCCCGGAGGGAATTGATTAATGTAAGTTTTTCTGTTTGATTTTAATATAAATGTTGCTCAATTACTTCTCTTTATACTAAAAAAGACGTCTGACATTTCAGATGATCTTACAAGAATTCAGAATTTAATTATGTGTCCTTACTTTAATATTTTGCAAAAACTGGTTGATATTTAACTGTGAAATTGTAAGGCAGACATGCTTTTGTTTGTTTATGTAAATGCTTTTCACTGGAGTGGATCTTCGATTTTGTACTGTAATGTGGAATGACCCTTTGTGCACCAGATAATTCTTAAGGTTCTGTTCTTAGCTTCTTATGCTTATGATAAGCTACTAATATTCTTAATTCTGCAGGGATTGAAGGAAATATCAAGTAGTGCACAAATTGGTGTTAGGAGAATGGGTGAGCTTGACAGTAAACCGTTCCAAGAAGCACTGAAGAGAAAGTATAATGAGGAAGAAGCAGAAGAGAAGGCAATGGAGCTGTGCTCCTTGTGGGTAGAATACCTAAAGGACCCAGAATGGCATCCTTTCAAAGTTACTACAGTCGACGGGAAGCATAAGGTACTCTCTAATACTCATTGTGTTGGGGTCTTCTGCTGTTTCTCTTAGCACAAGAAAGCATCTGACAAAAAAAAGTATCCAATATGTTGGCATAAATTAAAAAGATTTCTTAGATTGAACTAGTTTGGTTATCCCTGTGAGTTATTTCTCTTTGTTGCATATAAAACTAGTTGTGCCAAATTTGTGATTGTGGTGGCAAAATCCTTTCCCAGTGACGGTAGCTGATGTTCATCAAATATCCGCATAAATTTTTGTCTTATGCTGTTATTTAATCATCTAATTTTTAAGCTTTAATCATACTCTAATGGCTCTCCGTGCTTTTTCCTTGTGAATCACTTGGCACTTGCTCGCTGCCCCTTTGCTTCCTTTTCACTAGTTTATGTTTTTATGTTCAGGAAGTTATATCCGTCGAGGATGAAAAATTGAAAGATTTGAAGAAAGAACTGGGTGAGGAAGTGTGCAACGCTGTAATATCAGCTTTAACAGAGATCAATGAATACAACCCTAGTGGCAGGTACATAACGTCGGAATTGTGGAACTACAAAGAGGGGCGAAGGGCTTCACTAAAAGAAGGAGTTGCATTTATTCTGAATCAGTGGAAAACAAAGAAGCGGCGGATGGAGCTGGATTACTAAAGGTCAGTATTCGGTGTTTGTAATTACGTATTTAAAGATTTGACATAAATTATCTGTAAGTAAGTTCGAATGATGATTGATTTGAGTATTTGCCTTTCTGTTTTTGCAGTTCCATCTGACCAGCTTAATGGATCATCCTCCCAACACAGAATTGCTGAATAAGTGGCTAACCTGAAGGAGTACTCTGCCTTTAGATGCATTCGTAGTGTAAGCTTTCCCAGTCGATATGTGGACAGACGGGACAGTGCCCAACTTCTTATTCAAACTCGCAGGGAACGGAAACCGTTTGGTCATTTCACCTCTATAAAGGTTTGTTCCCGAGAGCGAACTATCGGTATCCGACTTTGGTGTATCTGTATTTAACAATGTACTATACTCCTGCAAACTTTTAAGTTCCTTTGTCTCTCATTTGCTACCTGAATCCTGATGTGATGCTACTCCCATCTGACTCTTAAGTCTTCAGGTCGAAAAAAACTTGCATGAAACGGGCTGTATACACCTTGATCTAACACTCTTCTTGCGGAGAAGTGTATACATCTTACAAAACAAGGTTTTCTCCAAAAAATAAAAGGAAAATAATAATAAATCTGTCAAAGTAAACGGAGAGAATGCTGCAAACGACGTCGTGCAAACATGGGAAAAATTGAAAAAAATGCATTAATTCGTGGACGCAAGATTGATAGTGAAAGGCCAGGATTAAAGGATCCGGACAGATCCGGAGAGGATCTCAGCCCGTCCGTTGAGCCTAAATAAATACAAGAAACCGCGTGATTTCTGGACAGCGGCACATTTCACGACCCAGAACGACGCCGTTTCTGGTATCCAATCTCAATATCTGCTGTTTCTATGGAACCCTAGGGCTATATATTCGTGCTGTCTTCTCAAATCCTCAGAGATCTCCATCGCCTACATCTTCTGTAAAATTAAAAATTAGGGCTGTGATTAGAAAGAGAGAGGCTTGAGCGGAAACCCCAATTAGGACCAAAGTATCACGGAGCGCAAAGAGAAGCAGAAAGATCGCCGCCGCTTTTCACCCGAATCGTAGGCCTTTGGCGTCTCTGCTCGTATCTTTGCGTTCCACTGATTCTTTCGCCCTGATTGGATCCGACCCGCAATGACAGGCCATCCAATTCTATACACTTGATATGAGCCCCCCTTCTTCCTTTTCAATTTCTGATTTTTAGGGATTTTTTTTGTGTGATTTTAGGGTTTTGGGGAATATATAATATATGGCACTTGTTAGGTTTTTGAGAGGAAGCGATTTTGATTTGCTTTCTCGCGTAGACCAATGGTGCTTACAGTGAAGGTCCGATTCGCACCGTTTCGGTGGGAGTCGGACGGCGGCCAGACAACCGTAGTGATGGTATCCACAGATGGCGGGTTCTCTCTGTCCCGTTTTTCTACTAATCTCCATCTCACATTTTCTTATTTTCCAATCAATTTATCCTAAAAACTTTATTTTTTAATTGATTTGTTTTTTCTATTTTTTTTAATTGAAAATTGAAATTCTAATCATTTAATTAAGGGTTGCAGACTATGTTTCATAGTTGGTTGATTTTTGAGTTTTGGATTCGAACCTGAACTGGTTGAACACGATGAGTAATGACCGTAAACCCTAAACCCTAAATCCTGAGGATTCGAGGACTTAAAAATGTACCGGGGGGATTTGAGGAGGACTTAAAACTGTTCGTGGACGATAAGAGAGAGAAGCAACTCTCATTGAACGGACTGACAGTAGGGAAGATGTACGGATATACACCAATCGATCCATCTGAGTTGTTCTCCTAAACTTGAGAAGTTGTAATGAAACCAATTTGAAAGTCTTACCAAGTTCTATGAATTACACATTACACCAGCAAAGAATCCAATGTAGAAACAAAGAATCCAATGTAGAAGACGTAGTCACGATTTCAGTTTAGTCGTATGTGAAGGAGAGAAAAAGGTGACTTAGGAGAGAAAAACGTGACTCATTATGGAGTATTGTCATGTTGTATATATTTACTAACTATACCTCGATTACAAGTTATCTGTCAACACGATTGTCAACATAAATCTTATGAAAAGACGCTTATCAACATTAATCTTATGAAAAGTAAGTGACGGTGCAATAACCTTTTATTAGATGATCGAATAAGATACGTGATCAGACTGTCCAACCTAAACTTTCTAGGTCATTGTTTAATTTCTCATTCGTCTGCTGGTGGCAGACATCCCTTCAAAGGTCCATGATTGCCGGTAAAATCACACCCCAAATGCAAAGTTGCAAACCATCCCCAAGAGCAAAAAACAGAAAAAATACTAAAATTAAAGTATATAATTATAAATATATTCAGGATCAGATAACCAAAGCAGCGGGCTACCAGCCACCTCAGCTGCCTACAACAACACTTTTGAAGCTTTGAGCTTTTTACACTCCTCCACCCAGCAGTAAAAAAAAAAAAAAAAGTTTTAACTTTAACCCCACCATCGAACATTGCTTTTACTTTCTTGCTCTTCTCTCTTTTACCAAACCCAAAAATTAAAAGGAAAAAAAAGAAAAGCAAAATGATATATTAAAAAGCGGGAAAATTGAAGAATTAGACCCTGAAGTTCTTGCCGGTGAAAGTTTGGCCGAACTGCCAGTTGGAAGGGACGATGTTCCAGGAAGTGGAGGTGCGGCGGTCACTGGCTGTCACCCTGAAGGAGAGTGACTGTCCAACCAGGATGGCGTTTGACTGCCAGTTCTGACCCCAGTTCCGGCTCAGGCTCATCCACGGAGTGTTCGTCCCTTTAACGTACACCTTCACTATATCCCCTGCGCCCGCGACGTTGTGGATCAGAACCAAGTTGAAGTACTTGTGGCCGTTGATTGTGAACCTGATTCCACCTTGCTTCCGGCATGGCACCCTAAACCACAAAAATTCACATAAAAGGGCATTTTAGTCATTTGGCTATTTAGAAACGACCGAAATAATAAAACAAAAACAGAGAGAAAGAGAGAGAGTGCTCACCGGCGGTAAGAAACAGGGACAATGCCGGCACGGTACTCGGCGATCTTGAGGAACATGGGCATGGCGAGATCGAAGTGGGTGCGAGGAGGGTTGCACCAACCGCCATTGTCGCTGGGCTGGGCGAAGTTTGGAGGGCAAAAGTTTGTGGCCGTGACAAAAATGGACGGACTGCCAGATTTGCACCACTGAGGCTGATTCGCGCACTTGATTTCGAAGCAAGCTCCACAGCTCAAACCGTTGTTGAAGAGTGCCGTGCTCAGCGCCGCCGTGTTCACTCCATAGCCCTGGCTGTACAGATTTCCGTAGCCACAGGCCCCTCCTGTATTATACACAGAGACAATCAAAAGGCATGAACTTTTAGTTTTTGTTATAATATTTTGAGAGATTTTGGGAAATTTTGATGTGGGTTTTTGAAATTAGAGGGTCTAAATCCAAAAGGAATGAACTTTATGTTATATTCTGTTTAAAAAATGCAAGGGGGCCGGGTTTAATGAAATCTCATGAGCTTACCCATAGTTCCAGAGGCATCACTGCCGCCATAGAAGGTGGCATGAGCACCCTGCCACGCTCCGCCAGTGTAAACACCAGGAATTCTGGCCTCGACTACAATGGTACTCGCCAGTGCCATGAGAGAAGCAATGCAGAGCAGAGGAGCCATGGCGGCCATTACTTTCTATAGAGAGAGAGAGAGAGAGAGGATGGGGTTTTTGAGTTGGAGGGTTTGGGTGTGAGGAGAAAGCAGAGGGGTGGAGTGCTATTTATGAACAAAGTTGAAGAGAAACTATTGTCAAAAAGTGACAAAATCATCACCTTGATTAATGCGGCTTTGGTCTCCCACGCCACGAGTAGTTGAAGGTGTTTTTTGGCGGTAATTCCGTTCAACTCTTTTTTTATTCTCAATTGACGGAAATGCCCTTTTGGTTCATTCCTTTCAACAAGTTTTAGGGTGAGGATTGTACGTCTAAAATTATGATCTTGATGGCGTTCAAAAAAAAAAAAAAATTATGATCTTGATGCATTGAGGAGAATAGGGGTTTGGTTCTCTTCAATTGCTCTGAACGAAAAAGAGTAGGATGCTTGAAAGACTAGGAGCCGACGATTGAACCTCGATGTATAAATTTTCTCGTTTAATTCTTCAATACTCTCGAGACCGGCCTTGAGGATAGCTAGAATAGGCGGACCGTCTAGGACCCCTACTCTAGAGAGGCCCCCAATTTTTTTCTGATACACGCGTGCGCACGCACACACAATATATTACAAACTTTTTATTTGTTTAAATAAGAAGTTTATGGATTTTGAGATTTTATCTAAATACAATAGCACATTGAGCTGAGCAGGTGAGCCTATTATTTTAAGCGACTCAAACATGTTCTTATTGACTTGAAAACAAGTTTGTTTACTTCTTTTATCTCACTTCCCAAACCGCTAGACACCGAACTCTAAACAAATAAACCCCTTGGTTTTTGTTGCATTCCCCAAACAACACACAAAATCCTAAGCATCATTGTTTTCTAAGGCCCCACTTCAAAGGCTCGTCTACACTCTAGTCCCCATATTCTTAGAATCAAGCCTGAATTTATCATCGGATTGTCCTATTCAATCAATCAAATTACATTCATCTCTCTATTCAAAGAAAGATGCGGGGTTTTGTGGAAAAGGTGAGGGTAGTAAATGTAGGGTCAACAATATCGGGGCTCAAGGGAGTTGTGATCATATTGGATGAATCATGAAACTGGTTTGCTTCGTTTGCAATTTGTGCCATCAACTGCGCACTCTTTGTCTTTTTGGCTGCCAAATTAAGGATTTTCTTTCTTTTTGTTCCTTCATTTTTGTCTCTTGATTCTCTAGATAGTGGGTGCATGTGCATTGTGGACTGTCTAGTGAATAGGAGGGAAGACTTGCTTGGCGTACTTAATGGTACGGATAAAAGGTTTTTGCTTGAAATTTTTTTTAAAGAAATTGACGTTGTAGCGTTTGATTGATTGTAGATTTGGTTAGTTTTATGTATTATTATAAGATAAGGTATTGAACGACAAAGTGTTATCAATAAGGGCTTGAATGTGTGCGCTTGTAGTGGTTGAATCAAGAGTTTCTTTATGTACTGATTTGTGGACGATTTTGCAGATCATTCAACTTTGCATTCTAATTCGTTATGGAGGTGGGGTTGAGATTTGTTATTGGAGAAGATTTTGTTTACTGCACATATTGTATTGCTTGAGCATTGTAATTCTTTGAAAATTCATATCATATCATGTTTATAAAATAAAGAATAACATATCGCTATCAGTAACTTGAACCTCGTATACAACAATTATGATCTAATGTTCCACTTTATGAATATGAAAAGCAATTTCCTTGGCACTACTAACCAGTAGTTAGTATCATCGTCACATTATGAGATATTGGATGAAACCAATTACAGATTTGAAAATTAAACTTGTTTGGTTATACGTAATTTACATTGACAATCTCACATTGAATTTGTTTAGTGTTGAGAGTATGAATCTCACAACGGGAAGAAGAGAGACATTGCATGTGTGTATAAGTAATCGGATTATTTCTCAGACTACCAATTAATTTTACGATGAAACCTCAACTTTCTTTGTTTAACAAAAGAAAAGTTAATGAGTAGCACTAAACGTGAGCAATTTTTAGTCAATAAAAAATATTATCCACAAAAGCACAGACCTTTGACGAAGCTACAATTTTATCTACACATTGTCCATTTTTTTCAATTTTCAAAGCGTGTGGATTGGGCATTTTCCTTCAACGGGGCCCAATCATTTCCGCATTCTACGGTCCTCGTATTACGCCGTGCGTCTGTCGTACAGCTGCGTACGCATCACATGGATACGGTGGACCTACTTGATTGCCTACGTCACTCTTGCTTTGAGCTTCTAGTTAGGTCTAAATACTGAATGTATATGCTTTGTGACACCTACTTCAATCCAAAGAAGATATATTTTTTTTTATTGTAAGTTGTTATCCAATTATCTATCTCGTTTAATGATTTGTTTTTATCTAATTATCATTAACCTAACTCACAAATAAAAATTAATTATAACTAAAACAAAGAATAATTGTAGAGAATAAACGTTCATATATATTCACGTACTTTCACGTCATCTGATATATGTTGTCATGAATGATCGCGTTCTAATACGAACTCAAGATCCTAATCAACAATTTGAAGAGGGAGGACAAAGGAGAGGGTGCATTTCCATTAAACGAGACACTAATAGCTTTATCAGCAAAAGACACAGAGAAGCCACAAAAACGGTTAGGAAGGTAATGCTTTACTGCTTTTTCGCATTAAGGATGTCGATTTGGGTTGACAGAAAAGAGTTTATTTCATATCCATCAACAAAATCTAAGAGAGATATTCACCACGTCATCACATCTCCCAAAATTATTTAGCTGTGTTGTTCAACAACACATCACCAAACCCTTCGCCCAGTCACCCTGTTTTGGATTCACTTCCATGAAAACACGTACGGTCTCAAATCTCAATGCATGTGAATATTTTCCACGACTAGAAGTCTGGTTTAATTATTTTGTAGGTCTTTCATTTGTGTTTTACGTGTTGTTTGTATCATTGTACATGAGAGAGAGAGAGAGAGAGAGAGAGAGAGAGAGAGAGAGAGAGAGTCAAGTCAAACCGAAACTTAAATTTTACTTTAGAGTGTGCACGGCTTTGGTAGCTAGAACATATGACATTATTGATCACCTTCAGAGCTGGTAAGGATCTTGATGTTGCTGATTACTTTGCCTGTGATTCTGTTAACTGCGACACTTACAAGTTTCATCGTCCATACACGTAGTAGTAGTTGATGTGTCGTAACTGGGTGCATGTCGTGTGTGAGAGTGTGTTATGCAATCAGATGAGAGTGGCATGAATGATTGTGAACCATTGATGTATGCGAGTTTCATGAGATTCACTCATTTCACTATAAATAGTGATAGTGGCGGATCTAAAATTTGAACCTTGCGGGCCCGAATGTTAAATACAGGTTCTTTTTATAGGAACAGAGCGTGAAGTGAACGAAAAAGAAACTCAGTTTATTCACTTGCTAGGCTTGTTATGCACATGTCAATAGATCTTGACATATGCCGAAACAATTTAATGAGTGATATATAGAGAGAACTTGTCTAATAATGTTGTTAACGCAACATGTCGAGATAAGCCTAGCATGCATTACATCAAACATTTAGTAGGCACAAAAGAGACTTGTACTAAACATTTGGAGGGTCCTCAGAAGACCTTCACATGTATATTTTCTGGACTCAAGTGGTCCTAGGACCACCTTGGTCCCTATTTCCATCTGCCCCTGTGTAGCAGAGTATGTAAATGGGTGCATGTCGTGTGTGGGTGTGTGTTATGCAATCAGATGAGAGAAGTTTTAGCATGAACGACCGTGGACCATTGATCGATGTGAGTTTCATGGAATTCACTCAAATGAGAGAAATTCTAGCATGAACGACTGTGAACAACTATTGTATGTGAGGTTCATAAGATCCGCTCGTTTCACAGTATATAGCCGAGAAATTTAATGTTTTTAATAAGAATTTGATTATATAAATAGTAGACACAACTTTAGAAAATAATTTCTCAATAAAGTAATTTTAAGAGAAGTGTAAATTACTAACTAGCTATTCAAGAATGTAACAATATTTCTCACTTGGCAAGCAATTCATATAATTATGTAGTATAATAATAACTGAATCCCAAAAAGTCCAATGCGTTTCTTCAAGGTTTGGTAGTTGGTACAATCCATTATACACTAAAAGAATATTAATAATAAGGAAAATTAACTATAAGTCAAAATTTTTTTTTAGTTTTAATGAAAAATGACAAATAAAAGTATAGTGAATACTGAATAGTACCATGAAAAGGTAAAAATGTGATTTTTCGTTAAAAATAGTACCGGAAGTGTTTCGTTAAAACTTCCATAATAATAATAATCATAATCACCAATTAAAGCATACTATTTAAGAGATAATTAATATCTTATATCTCCATTTAATCAAAACAATTTCATCACTCAATGTGCAAAAAAAAAGGGGCACCAAATACATGTGGTGGTTGTAAAATTACAGTCCTAAAACAAATTGACCAACCTAATTATTTTCTTAATATTAATTAGAAAGCTCATCATTCATGCTTTGGAATTGGTTGAAAACTTGACTCATCTTTACTAGACCTAGCAAGGGCAAGGGGACCATTTTTATATTTTGATGTCTCATCTTTAGATGAAAAAAAGGCATGCATCTATATATCTAGGCTCCATTGAGTTTTACGCAAAGCCCCTACCATGGAAAAGAAATAAATTCCAAGTTTCTAAAGCAAGCAAATTTAGAATCATATATTCAACTTTCTTCCTTTTCATGCACCACAACTAGATTAATTATACTCAACTTTTCTATTTATTTATTGATTTATATACAAGTAATATTTGAAAAAGGATTCAAATTCGGTTGCTCAAATGCAAGAGAAAATATTCTTAACCAATTGAGTGACACATCCTGATGCAAATCAGTTCGTCACTGCATTTATTGAATCATTGGGATAAAATCAATGACTATGGCCAATCAGAAGAATTTAATAACATTAGTAGCTCTTAATAATAGCCAGGGCGTTTTGGACGTTTTTTGGCTGATTAGATCACTTTCTTTATGTAATTTTCAATTTTTTGTCATTTTAAGTTTATTGCCTTTTTCATTTATGAATGTATGTTACA